CCCCCTCTCCGTCCTCCCCTCCCCCCCTCGGGAGACTCACGGACACCCCGGCATCTTGAGCACGACCACCGCACCCACCTCGCGCCCGCCCGCCCCGCCCGCCCCGCCCGCCCGATCTCCAAGCACGCACCACACCTCGTGCGCGGGATTCGCGAGCGCGGCGGCCACGACGCGGCGCATCTGCAGCGCATGCCACCTCTCGCCGTCGAGCCCGACGAACTGCGCGGCTGCGGGGTAGAATGTGCGCAAGGAGAAGCTGGCCACGTAGGCGGCCGCGAGGGCGTCGATTGTCGCGGGCGAGGTGTCGGTGACGAGGGTTAGGTCGTGCATGGTTTGTAGGGTGGGTGGGATCTCGGTGTATAAATGGTAATCGTCACTCGGTTCTAGTCACCGCATCCGACTCGCCCGCAAGCGTCAGATGATACATCCATTCAACAGATCTATACTTCTAAGTCTCACTCCCACCCCCAAAACCCGTCCCATGCGCGCGGCACCTCGACGCCGCGTATGCGGCTCCACTTGACGCGCGCCTTCCAGCGCCACCACCGGATGACGGTGACGAGGGTGCACGCGACGAGGAAGACCCCGATCACCACCCCCGCAAAGTAGTAGTTGCGGGGGTGGCGGGGCATGATGCCCTCCTCGTTCTCCTCCGGGATATGGTTGTGCGGGACGTGCACGTTGAGCGAGAACGAGCCTGGCGTCAGCTCCCTTCCGACCGGGCTTACTCGTCACAAACTGCATGGGCAGGATGCCGATGGTCACGACCGAGAGCGCGAGCACCAGGTTCGAGATGTTGCCGCGCGACGTGCTCCCCGACACTTGCAGGTAGGAGATGTATGCCGGCTGGCAGTTGGCGAGGATATACTCGTAGTGGTACAGCGACGTCTGGAGGAGGAGGATGTGGTCGTGCACGTCCGAGAGGTAGGCTTGCACGTCGGACGTGCCGTGGTTCTCGACGCGCTTCAGCAGGCTCGCGACGACCATGTGTTTGCCGCCCAAGAGGCGCGAAAGGCCCGTCACGAGACGCCGCAGGTTCGTCATGCTGTTCAGCACCGTCGTGCGGTCGAACACCTCGGGCGCAGCGGGCATGTACTGCTTCGGTCTGGCTTCCGTGATGGGCAGGAAGAAGAGCTTCGCGTACAGCACGCCCTTGGCGAGCGGCGACGTCGCCGTGTACCCGTCGAGGCGGGAGCGGGCGAACGCCTTGACGACAATCTTCTTGATGTAGCGGCTCGCGCCGGACTGCCGGGCATTGGTATGCGCCCGGTTCATCTGTTTGACGAACATCTCGCGCCGCGACTTGCGCCGTTCGCGCAGACCAGTGTTCTCCATCGCAATCCACTCCACGTCCTTGTCCCCGCCCGTAAAGTTCTCGATGTGGTCGGCATACGGCGCGTCGGCCGGCGACTCGGCGTCAATGTGGAACGCACGACTGTGGTCGCGCGGATCCCGCGTCGGGTCGATCGTCAGCGAGTCCATGTCGTCCACAGCGCCATCTACATATCCCGTGAGAGGGAAAAACGCGTCGACGATTGAATCCAGCAGCCCATGCGCAATCCAGTCCGCCGTCGGCTCGTGGGTAGGCACAGAGAGCACGCGGTCGCGCACGCGCGCCGTGTGTTTCGCGACATCGCCGTAGTGGAACTATGATCAGCAGGGGAACCAGACAGCGTACTTACGCTCACGATCCCGTCAGCGAATACGGCGAGGTAGAGATTGATGCCGCCGACGGCAACGCCCTCCAGCCCTTCTTTGCCCGGATGGTCCTCGACGATCTCGACCTTCTCGCCAGCCTTGCTGGCCGTACGCCCCGTCGCCCGCCCAAAACCCCACCCGCGCCGCTGCCGCTCCTTCTTCTTCTCCGGCCCGGCGTGCTCATGCTCCTCCACATGGTGTCCTGGGGTCGTAATCTCAGCGCCGGGAGGCGCGTCCACGCTGCCCGGCGTGTACTTGAAGTACTGCTCGTCGAGGGCGCGCACCGCCACAAAGTAGTAGCCAAGCGCGTCGAACGTGTCGAGCTTCTCGCGCGGATCTTGGTGCAGCACGTCCTCGAGTGTGAGCGGGTGGAGGGAGAGGAGCTCGCCGATGTCGCGCAGGTCCTTCCATGTGGGGCAGGAGACGTCGAGCCACCATGCCGCACGAGGCTTCGGTGCCATAGTGTCGATGCTCATCTGTGGAGACGGGGTGAGGGGTTCAGGTTCGTCTACCAGTCCGCGGAGGGAGGTGGCGCTCGCGGAGCGCGGGCCCACCATGCCGAGCAGGTCGGAAGCCGACTTCGGTCTCACGGGGATGGGTATCGAGGCCGTGCCGCGCAGCGCCTCGAGCCTCGTCAGTGTACGGGGTACGATCGGGCGGCGCGGTGGTGGCGCAGTGAATGTGCGCGGTTGGCGCGAGCGGCCTGGTGCTGACCCACCGCGCTTCATCGCCACACCCTTACGCGTGTGCGCAGGGCGTACAGCCAGGTCGGAGGTTATACCCGCCGCCTGCCGGGCTTTGCGCACCTCGTCCAAGATGGGCTGCAGCACTGGCGTCGTGATAAGGCGGTTGGGGGTTGGCGCCGGTGTCCCACCAGCAGGAAGGGGCGGCGTAGGCATCGGCGTGCCCTCGCCCGGCGCCCAGTTCTCGTCTGGTAGCAGCAGTGTAAACTCGCGCCGGCGGGGAACGTGGATGCGGCGTGGGCGCTCCTCGGTGCTGTCGACCGTCGCGCGGGAAACAGTGCGCGTTAGAGCACGCCCTAGGCGGCCGATCACTCTCGTAGCCGCGCCATCGGAGGAGCTGGAGCTAGAGCTGGAACTGCTGGACCCTGTGTCCATAGAGGAGGTGGATCCGCGGCGCACACCAATGGCGCCGCCGATCCGCTGCACTACAGCCCTGGTGGCTCCAGCAACACCGCCGCTGCCCCAACTCCAGCTGCTACTTCCACTGCTCCCGCTCGAGACCGTGATGGCGTCGTCGTTTGAGACGAGTGGCAGCGCAGGTTCGGGCGTAGGATCAGACGTTGCGCCACGGTATAGGTCGCCGTCGTCCGTGGTCCACCCGTGCCGGCTGGGACCAGCGAGCAGCGGCTGCCCGGCCAGAGTGCCCATTCCGGCAGGCGCATCATCCGCGAGTGCGGCTCGCGGACGCCGCCGCCGCCGCAGCTGCGCGGGGGTGAGAAGCTCAGCGAACTCGGGCTGATCAGCGGAATGCGGGGCCGGCGTCTGCGCCAGAATCGGGGTGGGCGGCGCCGTGCCCGCGGTTGTGGAATAGGTGGGGATGGGGGTAAGAGGTACGCGGGGACGGGTCGCTGAGACGTGCAAGCGCGCTGGTGTCGATGAAGATGGTGCCACATGTGTTCCGCCTGGAAGGGGGGCGAAGTGAGGCGACCGCGGCTGGAGGGGGTGGGCTTTGGTGGGCTCTCGTGGGTAAAGCGGGGCGGGCTCTCGTGGGTGCTTGCGGGGAGGCTCTCTTGGCTCTGGGGGGTGCAAAGGGGAGGGGCCAGCAGCGACGACGGGCAGAGGAGCGGGGTCGCGCATACACACATGTTCCTCCACGTCGAGAGGCAGGTCGGTGATGTCGCGCTCCTCGATGCTCTGCGGCGATGCTGTGAGGTGTGGGGAGAAGGCGGGCGGAAGGGGTGGAGAAGGGACGGGGGACGAGGGGGCCATGGTTACGGCCTTGCGGTGGTGGCAGGGGCGGTCATCAGTGCGCAGCTCACATCGAGCTCGCGAGTGGAGTGGGTCTGTGGTGGGAGAATGAAATGGGAAGTGATGAAGAGGATGGAGGATCGAGATGGAGATGGATGGGGGAGATGGCTGTCGGATGAGGTTTGCTCGGTTCAGGAACGGCGCCGCTCAAAATAAAGTCTGGGCAGACAGTGCTAAGCACGTGTGTTCTCTTGACTTTTAGGTTGTACGATTAGAGGCCAGGCGATGAGGGCAATGGACATCGCATCAACGCTAATATAAACGGTAAGAAACAGGAATACATGCAACTGCGCACTGCATCGACAGTCTTATGCAGGAAAACAGCTCAGCTCAGCTGTCGGTGAGACAGGCGAGACATGTCATACAACATGAGCCAATATAGCCTCCTTCCCCCTATCGGCGACCAGAATTACCGCCTAGCGACGCCTTCACGCTCGTCCGCAGCTTCTTCAGATCCGCATCCGTAAGCTTGACCGCGTCACACGCGCGAATAAAGTTGTCCGGCAGCAGCAGGTTGTCCTGCGGCAAGCGGTGCAGGTAGTTGAGCACGTCGTGGGACGTGCGCGGGAGACGGAGGAGGCGGTCACGGCTGAGGGTGAGGACGGCGAGCGAGGCGATGAAGACATAGCGCGGGCCTTCGGATATCACCGCGTCAAAAAAGCGCAAGACGGTAGGCCACGGCAGCGAGCGAATGAACATTCCCATCCACCACCGCGGGAGATAATCTTGGGCTGAACTGTTAGCGCGTGCGTCCTATCAAAAGCTGTCCGTTACTCACGAAGGATGCCCACGTCCGCAAAAAGACGCGCCAGCTGCGGATCGGTGCCCTGCAGGATCCCGCCAAAGACGTGAAGGTCCACCCGGAACGCGAATCGGTCTTTGACATAGTACGTCTTGAGGACGCTGTTGAACAGCCCCGCCATGAGCCAGAAGGCGTCCTCGATCACGGCGTGAATGAGCATCGCCCCAGCGATCAACGCGAGTTCAGAGCGATAGCCATTGGGCATAAAGTGCAAGAACGCCCGCAGAAGGGTGCGTAGATCCTGCTGTCCAGGCGAGCCCTGGCGGAAGAACGCCGAGTGGTCCGCGTACACCTTGGGCACATCGAGGTCGATTTGCGTGTCGTACGGACCAGGCTCATTCGATACCAAGCGCTGAAACAGGCCTGGCACACGACCAGAGGTGCCATTGGACATGAGCCAGCCCCAGATCCGCCCGCGCAAACTTGCAGGGACACCCTGCTCTATGATCGTGCGCTTGACCTTCTTGGGGATGACCGCTCCTCGGGAGAGGGGTGAAGAAATGGTGGCCCGCCATTTCTGCTCCAATGCGCGGATATCGCCGGCCGACTTGCGCGACTGGAAGATGGCGGGCGTAGGGCTCCGGTCGCGGAGGAAACCCCACTCGTCCATTTCTGGCGGCGTATCGGGCACGAGCGGCTCCAAACCATCTCTTGCCAACTCCTCTGGCGGGAGGAGACCCAGGTCGCTCGCGTCGAGGTTCAGCTTGACAACTGGAGCGGATGCCTTGCGCGGCTGCAGGATTTCAAACTCCATGCCGTCCGTCTTGACGGTAGGGTCGGCATAGTCCTTGGAAGAGATGCCAGTCGTGATGAGAGGCCGCGATCTTCCCCATGAGCCGGACCCGGACGCTGAACGCTGGTGGCCCGTGTATGGCTGGGCAGGAGGCAGGAACAGAGGAGCCGACCTCTCCAACTGAAGCGATGGGTTGCGCTGAAGATCGCTGGGAATTGTGGGCACGGGCTTATCCTCCAGCGACATGTGGTGGACTGACTCGCCAAGCTTCATATGGTGCACAGCCTTGGTGGAGTTTGCTGACAATCTCGACGACGCCTTCCAAGAGCCGACACCAAGCGTTGCACCGCTGGACGGGTTGGGGTCGGAGTGAAGATACTGCTGCCCAGCGGGGTTGCCAGGGTTAGGGCTAGACGACGCGGACGACCCGGCCGAGACGAAGGCCTGTCGCGGCGGCATGTCGAGGGACTGCTTGCGACCAGCCGTGACGTTGGCGAAGCGCGGTGCGAGATCCAGAGACGGCTTGCGCCCGACCGTGACAGTTGGTTTGCGAGAACCAAAGTCAAGCGAAGGCTTCCGTCCTCCGGACACAGCAGGCATGGGCGGAGGGTTGTCGAGAGATTGCTTGCGTCCGAAGGACTTGGCGATGGCAGCCGAGAAGGATCGCGACCGCGCACGGTGTGTAGGGCCTTGCGGCGGCTGGGGCAGCGATGATGCGTTGGACGAAGACGTGTTGCTGCTCTCGAAGGAGTTGGGAGTCGCCGGGGCGCCTCCTCGCGCAAAGGCCGGCAACATGTGGTGAGGAGACTCGTTGCGCCGGCCCGGGGGCGTCGCTATGCCAACCTCATCCGAGTAATTGAACCGGGACGCCTTTGGCGTCTCCACTGGCCCAGCGCCAAGAAACTCTGTCATCGTCTGGGGCGTGTCGGCGGCGCGCGCCGCAGCAGACGGCAGGATAGGCTTGAACGACCCCGCGAAAGCTGGCATATGGTGATCATCGCTGACACTCCGGTTGTTGGCCATGGGGGGCGAAGCCATCCGCCGAGCCGTTTCGTGTGGCGGCGTGCTGTGGCACGAGCTCTCCGATGATTGCGCGCCGTAGCGCCCGTAGTCGACTGGCGGGGAATGGCGGGCAGGCATATCCACGTGTCCCAGGCGGTTGACGGGAGGTCCACTGAGAGGCGAGGGTGTTGCCTGGTGGCCATGCCCGTGGCTGCTCTCAGACGGCGCGTGCGGCCTGCCATCGGGGGTGTACCGCCTGGCACTCTCGGTCGACGGCCTGTGGCCGGAGTCGGATCGAGCAACGCTGGCACCATGGCCGCTGGATCCGAGCGATGGCTTTCTATACGGCGGAGATGGCGAATATCCAGGTTTCGCGGGAGTCGGCGGAGCAGGTCGCGGCGAATTGTAGCGCTGATTCTGCGGGGGAGACATCGGCCCAGCCTGCGCACCGGGGCTTGCATGCCGCGGAGCATCATCGCCGTAATGGAAGGTGATCGGCACTGGGTAGCGCGAGTGCGAGAGGTCGGTTTCCATCTGACCAACGAGGGTCACGCCATGACGGCGTTGAACCTCAGACTGTGGAGACATCGTGGCGTTTTGGGCAATCGACCGTGACGACTCGGCATGGGGTGGGGACATAACATGGGGCGCGGTGGAGCTCTTCTGGGGCGGCGTCGCAATCATGGGGCTGGGGTCGAGACGGGATGGAGCCTGCGGGGTCAAGTGAGAGTCCAGAGAGCTCGAGGTATGCGGCTGGCGTGGGTAGCCGGCGTCGGGCGCCAGTGTCGTAGGAAGGAGGCGGCCTACGAGCGGCGGCCTCGCGTTGGCCCACGCAGTTCGGGACTCCGGGCTGCGTTCAGGCGACGTGCTGGGCTCAGGCATGGTGCTGAGGGTGGACGGGGCGATGCTGACCTGCGACATCAAAGCGGCTGATGCGTCTTTGGCTGACTTGCGCTGCTCGTCCGTGAGCTGCGGGTGGTGTCCCAGAGCGTAGAAGCCGTTACGGGCGGCGTTCTTGGCTGCGATTCTGGACTCGACCGACCATCTCGAGTCAAATGATGTGGGTGAGTCGTTGATCGAGGCTACCTGCGCCCCGTTGGGCAACTCAAGGTTAGCTGACGCACGAGCGTCAGACGGCGACAAGCCTTTGTCGGGGCTCAGGCGGTCCACCCGAGGCTTATCATCTATAACGAGCGGCGGCTGGAGCCCGGTCATCGAGCCATCGTGAGACGATCCGCTGCCGAAGGAGCGAGCCTGGATAGGCGGGCCGAACCTGGGTGCCGGCATGCTCTGTGGAGTGTCAAGGACGGTCTCGTCAGACACAGAAACGTCAGGCGAACGGCGGCGCCTGGTCGTAGAGCAAGTGGCCGAGCTGCGGCTCAACGAGTCCAGTGATGACCTCGGCGACTCGTTGTAGGCGAGGCCGATGGTGCCGTCGTCAGAGGCATCATCGCGTACCGGCTCCGAAGGCCGACGCTGGCTCGAGAAGAATGCCGGCATCTGAACCTGTGGCATCTGCTCCTGGGCCTCGGATGGGGGCGAAACCAGTGCTTCAACGTGGGGCTCTCCTTCGTCGTCCGCAAAGTCGGCGTTGCTGAACTGAGACATTCTATTGTCCGAGTTGCCGTTGCCCCGGGGAAGACGGTCCGGGGACAGGAGCAGCTCTCGCGAGCGCAGGCCCTCGCCTCCAAAGGTCGCATGCGACATCGGAGTCTGTGGAATAGGCGACTCGCCGATGCGGGCGGTGGAGCAGTCCGAGTCTTCCGCCATCGAGTCGCAGTTGTCGAGGTCCAGCGCCACAGGGCGGCGCCGAGGGGGGCGGGCCGGAGGGATGGGCCCATTGGAAGGTGTCGGGGAAGGCGCGGCCACGGCACGGTCCGTCTCGGCCTCGCTGTACTCGGACTCCTCCTCGTCGACAGTGCCAACGGTCCCGACGTCGCTGATACGCGAAGCTTCGCTGTATCGCGACGCTTGGCTGTTTCTCGACAGCTCGCTGAATCTCTGTGTCTCGACCATGACAGACTGTCGCTGCGGGGCGGCAGCGTATTCCACACGATTCACCGAGCGTACATTCCCTGTTACGCCACCGACGCCCGGGCCGCCAAGGCGCATCGACGCCTCATGCATTTGTGCGGACCGAGCCTGTGGGGCCGAATAGGCGGTCAGGGAGGAGAGCCCACCGATGGGCGGCAAGTTGTCGGACGCGTGCGTTGGAGGAGATGGCGCGAAATCCTCGACGCCGGTGGCTGGGATCAGCATGCATGAAGCTAGATTGTTCACTGACCATTAGATCCAGATGAAGGGCTGTTATGCTGGGCGAACCCGCCCAACACGAGCCGGCCGATGGGCTCGTTTGCGCTCGAGCTAGAGCGCGTAGACCAAGAGGTCTCCGAGTGTGTGCGAGAGTGTGCAAGGGGTGCCGGAGCAGCCGGGGGCGAGGCCGTGACGGCAGCGGCAGCGGCAGCGGCAGGTGGTCTGCCACTTGAGCGTCTAGGCCGGGTGGGCGCCGAACTAGAGCTGTGCTGTTGAGATGAGTGGCTGCTACCGCTGGCGGTTGGGCTTGCTCGGCGCCGCGGCGTCTCGCTGCGAGCGCGGTCAGCAGCGATCGGTGAGGCATCCGTGTCATCGGCATCAGAGCTGTCGCCCATGACGTCCCACGTTGCCGAGTGCATGACCGGGGTGTGACCTCGACCTTCGTCGCCGGTGCTGTCGTCGTCGTGGTTGACATCGTACTCGGCTCTGAGTGAGGGTGGTGCGATGGGCTCGGGCGAGCTGGGAGCGCTCCCAGAGGCGAGTGCGTCAAGGCTAACGTTGTGACGCCTGACCCAGCCGACCTCGCCCTCGCAGCAAGCGAGGAACTCGTCGCCCTCGTCCTTGAGAAGGATCAAAGTGTCGCCTTGGATGTACATGAGCTGGTCGGGTCCCTCGGCAATGCAGTCTGTGAGGCTGAGAGTTAGTGGTGGGAATATAGGAGAGTGACTCACGCTGTGGCTTGGCCGAGACCGCCGCGGGCGGCGAAGGCCAGCATGTCGTCTATGACTCTGGGGTCAAGACGACGCATGTTGCGGGCCTGTGCGTGAGGTAGAAGGTGAAAGGAGTCGTGTGCCAGTTGGAGGAAGGTGCGGCGTGGAAGGGGGGGAGAAAGGACACGACGGCAGAGAGAGAGAGAGAGAAAGAGAGAGAGAATGGGATAGAAGAGGAGAGCAGGAAAGTTGCTGTCGTGTGTTTGGAGGAGAGAGAGCGGTGGTGACGAGTACAGTAGTGATCGTAGTGACAGCAAATGAAGCGTGTTGCGTGTTGTGGGCCGTCGTGTGGGTGTGACTTTGCGAGGTGTAACGCTGATCTGGATCTGGCGGCTGGCGGTTGGCGGTTGGCGGCTGGCTGTGTGATGGCCGTTTGATGTTTCGACGCGCGCGTTGTCTCAAGTGATCAAGTGAGACACAAGGTAGTCGCGTCGTATCGCGCGTTGTGAATTTTCCCGAATAGCCGTAGCCGTGTCCCCCCCAAGTTAGTGAGGAGATGGAGGAGATTGACGATGGTGGTGATGATGATGATGGCGATGGCGATGGCGATATGGCGAGTAGAGGTTGTATAGTAATGGCCGTAATGGGTAATGTCAAGGCGTTGAGGGGCAACCATCAACGCAACGAGAGAGCGTGCACGCGCGCAAACTCAGGATCCTCCTCTCTCTCCTCCGTTCTCAGGAACGGCCTTCAGTCCAAGCAGCAGGCAAGTCGCGCTCATTCCTTGACAAGAGCATTCTGCATGCTGCATGCAATCTGGATGCACTTCGATGCATTTCGATGCGTGGCCAACCAGTCGCGGGGCGTTCTCGAGCACATTAAAGGTAGAAGGTGACGGGTTGATGGTTGAGGGTTGAGGGAGTACGGGTACCTATCTCTTCTAGAGCAGTTGAATTGCCTCAGAGTTGGCAAGGACAAGGGTGTCGTCAAGGGCAGAGCTTAATGCCCAGGGAAAGACGCGACTGACCCCCCCAACTCCCCAGCTGGCCAGCTGCCCGCTCACATCAAGCGTCGAGGCCTCGGTTCCTTCCAGCTTGCATTGCACCCATGCCGTATGCCGTGATTGTGGGCGAGGAGGAGAGGGGTTACGGCATCCTGTGGTGGGAGATGCGACAGGAGCATGGGAGATGGTTAGACTTTGTACTGGCCATCTGCCCCCTGGCCGCTGGCCGCTGGCAGCTGGAGGGCATGGAGGCCTGGAGGGAGTGCGCTAGTGGCGGAGTGAAGGATGATGAAGGAGTGATGGCGAAGACACCTCTCCAAGAGGCCACGTGCTGGACGCGTGGTGGATGCGTGTCGGAGACGATGCACGAGAAGGATGGATGGATCTCTTGAGGAGCTGGAGGGAGAGTCCTGGTTACCGGCCGGTGTACGGGCGTACGGCGTCCTGGCGTCAATGGGATGGCTGGATGGCTCGTGCATCGCTCCACTGATCCACTGCCTCCTCCATGCTTCATGGTAATGATATGAGGAGAGAAGGGATGACTGGGGTTGACGGGGGTTGACTGGATCGATTGGATGAATGCAACGCACCTTCTCCCTCCCATTTCACTTTCCTCTTTCTCTTCATCTCTCATCTACTCAATCTTCTCTCTTCTCTCTTCTCTCTTCTCTTCTCTCCTCTCTCTCTCTCTCTCTCTCTGCATCTCTCTCTCTTTCTCTCGGCTGTCTCTTTCTCCTCTTTTCTCTCTCTCTCTTTCTCTCTTTCTCTTTCTCTCGCTCTCGCTCATCGCCAAGCTGAGCCCCACATGAACCCTTCACCCAGGATCACCAGGCCACCATGATCAAGAGGACAACGAGAATGGGTGACAGAGCCCACCTCCCATGCCCCAGATGCACGCGCCTTCTTTCCTACCCCTCTCCCTAATGATCCTTGATCAGCACTGACCTTCACATCACTCACCCTACTTGGCATCCTCTCTGCAATCCCCGGCATCACAGACCTCATGACCTCGCCTACACGGCTACAAACTCATCCATCCCTCATGAACTCATCCTCACACGCGGTTAAACGCTAGATGACACTGATGGCGTCCACGCATCCAGAACACTGCGCTCGATGTGCCTTCCAAAGATCAACAGAATCTGAACAGAGGCAATCACGCCGTGCAGGCGGACCAGTGGCCGGTGGTGGGCAAGACTTGTCGGTCTTCACAGCGCATGTCCCCCCTCCTCACAAGCGGTCTTGTTGCAACTCCACGCTACATGCTGCATTCAGATCGTCCAAGCTCATTAAGCTCTTTGGCGATCTGGCTCGTGCACATACAAATGGCGGCCCTAGTGGGTCATCCTCAACGTTTTGCTGACGGCAGGGAAGGTGTGCAGTTCGGCCAAAAAGACAAAGGACGACGGCGCGTACAGGGATATCCATGGCTGCATCCAGCCAAAACGTAGCCTCGCGCGGCATGGGCGGAATGGGCGGGCGGCAGCGAGCAAAGTCGTGCCGGTGGCTGGTGGCGTTCCGCTCGGACCACGCTCAGGTCGGCTTGTCCACCCACCACCATTGTCGACAAGACACGCCCCACCACCCACTCCACCCGCATCCCCGCTCAACCCACGCCGCCCACATACTCTCTCCGACGCGTCCTTGGCGATTGGCGACCAGGCGGCCAGGCGGGGAGGCGCTCGCCAGCCAGCCGCCAACCCCGGCCGTACTCGCAGCCGGGGTGCGTCCGTGGGGTGATGAGCGTGGGATGAGATCGATCAGAGTCACAGTCTCTCTCTCTCTTTTTTCCGCTCAGGAGACTTGGGCTCATAGCTACGCTTGATCCTGACTGCAGCGGCATGCATCTGACGAGCCAAGAGTCGCTCGCGCACTGGTAGAAGTATCCAGTATCGAGGCCCCAGCTTGTTCTCCCCCCCTATTGCTCCTCGCTTTCGCTTTCGACCCGCGACCAAACGAGCTCGCCTTGCTCTCTCACTCACAACTGTTCGCGCTAGTTCACGCGGCATTGTCTGTTCTGCTCAGTCCACCGCTTCTTCGTTCAAGAGTCACCAACTGCGTTTGCTAGGCGAGGCCAAGAGCCACGTCCGACCTCTACACACTCGTTTCTCCCTCCTCCCCTTCTCCGCCTCCTCCTCCTCCTCCTCCTCCTCCTCCTCCTTACCCCCACCGCTCGCCACCATGGCACCCATTCTCGACGCCGTCGAGCAGGAGGCCAAGGACCGTATCCTCGAGGGTTTCTCCGGTCCTGGTGTCGCCATCACCCCTCTCCTCATGGGGTGGGTTCTCAACGCGGGGTGCTGTCGCTGACACCAGCATGATCATCGATGCAGCTTTGCTCGGTATTATGCTATCGCAACTCATCCACTGGTTTGCGCACCAGCGGTCACAAGAGTCCAAGCTGCACCAATATGCTGTGGTACGTTTGGGCACGTACCAAGAGTGGCAGCCCCCCCGTGTGCACTTCAGTCCACTAACTCGTCAGTTTTGGTGCTCGTTCATGGGCTGCACCGTCTTCCTCCTGTCCACAGGCTGGATCATCTACCTCTTCGGATACAACTTTGGCCGCTGGGTCCCGTTCACAGACTACCGATGTGCGTTTCTCTGTTGCTGCATGTTGCATGCCACATGCCGCATTTGGCCGATGGCAGACTGGCTGCATGGCTGACGCACAGGGCTCTCGCTTTACCCCATCGTTGACGCCTCCATGGTCCTTGTCGTCCAGGTGCGTTGCACCCTATGTGCCAATGTGGCGCCGGGCTTGATTCCATGCTGCAAGCTAGAACACTTGCTGATTACCCTCAGGTATTTTATGCCGAGCGTGCCTACAAGATCGCCAACCGGAGCAAGCTGCTGATCCCTGCCGTCGCCTTCCCGATGTAAGCTCTTGGGTGTGCTCTGCCAAGCTCCAACTAACCCCAGGTTCGTATCGCTCGTCGGCGGTGTCGGTGTCGCCGTGTGCGGCTTCGTCAGCCGGATCATCACGACCAACTACCGTATTTTCGTGTGGTTTTGGATCGGTGGCTGCTTCATCGCCGACATCATCATCACGACCATCGTGCTGTGGGGCCTCACGCGCTCTCGCTCGCCCTGGGAACAGACAGATATCCTCGTGAAGCGCCTGATCCGCGTCGCCTGCGAGTCGCAGCTCCCGCCGACGATCTGTGCGCTTGCGCTCCTCATCGACTGGTGTGTGCAGCAGGACAGCTTCTACGGCGTCTTCTTCGAGATGATCCAGGGCAAAGTCTACGTTGTCGGCATGATCTATGTGCTCAACCAGCGCTTCTTCCTGCGCCGCGAGCTCGACGAGACCAACAACCTCAACGCCCGCCCGGCGTTCAGCACGTTCAAGGGCGGCCGGAACCGCACCGGCGCGCCGCTCGGCCCCGCCACCATCCACGTACAGACCGAGACGTATGTTGAGTCCCACCAGATCAACCCGGCATTCATGCCCCAGCGCCTCCAGCCCAAGATCCGCGAGGCAAGCGAGAGCGGCGACACCGAGATGAGCGAGCTCGACGGCGTCAACCAGTCCGAGGTCGGCCTCAACTCGGAGTACATGGAGCGCGTGCGTGCCGCGCGCAAAAAGCCCGAGTTCAACGTCGCGTCGTTTGCCGCGATGGGTTAAGGAGGGTGTGGTGTGTTGTGGTGTGGTGCGGTGCATGTGTTCAGCATTTGCATTTGTTCCACGTTTGCTTCGTTTCTGCTGCAGTGGATTCTGCGTTGCATTGGGTTTGCATTTGCATTGTTTGCATCTGTCGCGCATGCTGTCACACTTGCTCTTGCCTACCTGCACCTGCCCCTGCATCTCCCCCCCCCCCCCCCCCTCTTTTCTCCCCCCGATTTCTGCTTTGCGCGTGCGCGCGCCCGGACCATGCCCGGACAGGCGGGCCGGCCCCTTCCGTTCGCGTATATACCCGTACCTGTCTGCCATGTCTGTATATTGTGACCAGCAGCGGCGAGCAGTGAGAGTGGATGGGAGAGGTTGCGCGAACGCAAGGAGTGAGCATGTCAGCGATGGCGGGTGAGTAGCGAGCTGTATGAGTGAAGCAGATCAACATGTCACGCATGGACTATGCCCACCACGCCAAGCCGAGCGCTGGCGCACCTGGTCCGGGCGCCGAGACTCTCAAACCGTCCTCGGAGAGGCCAGCATGATCCACACACTGGCAATCTGTCCTCTGATCTCTCGTTGTGCGGCGGCTGCGGCCGCCCCGCGCTGTGCACTCTGCATGCTCTACTTTACTTAACCCGCCATGCCCTACTCAAACCATGAGGAGGGACGACAGCGTCGCCTCGGTGGCGAACACATCAAGGGCCTGCTGGACCTCGAGCTTGCGGCGTGCCTCGCGGAGCCAGTCTTCGGCGAGCTTGCGCGGCCACCCCGTAAGGGAGTTGACTTCGCGCGCCGCCGCGTCGAGGTCCTTCTCGCCGAGCGCGTACTCGGCGCGCGCAAGCACGGCGCCGACGTCGGTGCCGGCCACGAGGCCGGCCTTTGGCCGGAAGAGGATCTTGGAGAGCACGGCCGACGCGAGGTGGGACGCGACGGTCGCGTCCTCGGGCGCCGGGACGAGCGCGGCCTCGTGGATGCGCGGCGCGACCGACGCCGCGAACCACGCCGCGAGGTCCGAGAACGACTTGACGCCCGTGCTCGGGATGCCGGACGCGTCGAGGTGCGCGAGCGCGGCGCGCATCACGCTGTCCGTGTCTGCGCCGTCGGGGTCCGTCGGCGTCGACAGCGCACGCAGCACACGCACTTCGTCGTCGAACGCGACGTTGCCCCGCTCCGCCTTGGCTTGGACGGCGCGCAGCGCCGACCAGATCTTGTGCAGCTTGACGTTGTCGTCGAGCACCGCGCTGTTGTCGAGCGTGATCCGCTCGAGCTGCTTCAAGCTCGTCGTCAGCGCGTCGAGCTTGGCCAGCCGGCCCCCACGCTCCGTCTCGACCTGCGACTTGATGCTGCGCAGCCAGCGCCGCTGCAGCTCAATCCCCTGCGACACGACTTCGTCCCGGAGCCGCGCTTCGATGTGCTGCCGCTGCGCGGCGAGCTCGGCGTCCAGCACGTCGCGCCACCCGTCGACCATCTTTTGCCGCTCCGCCTCCCACGTCGTCTTGAGCTTGTCCTCGCCCGCGAGCCACTCCTGCTCCTTGCGCGCGAGCTGCGCTTCGAACTCGCGCGTCTTCGCATCCACCGTGCTCTGCAGGCGCGCCTGCTCCGTCTTCTTGACGTCGTCAAGGCGTGCGTTGAGCGCCGAGAGGTCCGCCTGCGCCTTGCCGAGGATGTCGGCGGCCTGCGCGCTCGGGGCGCCCTTCGCGCCCGCAAGCGTCGTGGTGAGCGAGTCGATCGTCGACGCAAGCTGCCCGATGATCGGCTCCTCAACCCCAAAGTCCTTGACCTTGGGCGCGAGCAGCGGTAGCTTGCCCTCCTCGCTCTTCGGCTTCGGAGGCGGCGGCGGCACGTAGAAGCCGGGAGGCGGCTCGAACCCGATCGGCAGCTTCTCGGGGTACTGCTCCTGGCCCTCGTACGAGCGCGTCTGCGGCTGCACCGTCTCGGGGCGGAGTGGGCGCGGCTTAGCCGTGTCCGGGAAGCGGTGGGTCGACACGGCGTCTTGCGTCACCCGCTCCGCGTCCTTGGCCACCTCCTTCGCCTTGTCCGCCGCGACCTCCGCCACCTCCTTGGTGTCCTGCACGATCGCCTTGCCAACGCCCTTGGTGGCTTGCGCGGCCTCCTTCGCGCTCTCCGCGACGACGTGCGACGCGCGCTCCGCCTTCTCCTTGGCCTCGGCGGCGGCCTTCTCCGCCTTCTCGCGGATGTCGTGCGCCGCGCCCGACGCCTGCTTCGTCAGCTCACCGGCCTTGGTGCGCGCCGCCTCCGCGGCGTCGTGCATCCGCTTCTGCGCGTCCGCTGCCGACGAGCGCGCAAGTGCCGCAGCCTCGTGCGCCTTGGCCTCCGCCGCCCGTTTCGCCTGCTCCAGCTTCGCTTGGATGTCGTCCTTGCTCGTGCTCGACAGCTTGGTCACCATCTGCGCGAGCGTGCCCGGCCCAAAGTTCTCCCAGCCGTTCTCGTCCGCGTAGTCCGCGAGGAACTCGCCGCCAGGCACTTGCACGAACAGGTCGCGGTATTTCTCGTTGTGCGTGGAGATGAGCGCCGAGGTCGGGTAGAACACGAGCGCGCCGAACGTCGTCCAGAAGACGAGGCGGCGCACGAACGACTTGCGCGGCGGGGCGTTGATCGTCGCCGACGCCGCGCCCGCCGCCACAGGCGGCGGCGTGACCTGCTGGAGGCGCGCGGGCGTAGTCGAGATGAACTGGGGTTAGCGGACACAGCAGCGAGCGGGAAAGAATCGGGCCAAGGAGGCCAATGGGATGACCGAGGTGCCCGCGCACCCCGCGGGCTCGCGCACGCCGTATACTCACTCGCCGCTGGGCAAGCGCCCTCGTACCCCTTGCGGGGAGCCTGAGCTGCGCGTACATGATTCCAGAGAGTGGTTTTGTGGATGTCGTCGAGAGCTGGATGACGGGCGGAACGTCACTCGACCTCGCCGGCACCCGGAACTATCCGGCGTTACTCCCCATACAAACGCCCAGGCACGACTGTGGCGGGCGCGATTAAGTGGAGGGCGACAATGTTGAGATTGCCACCCAACTAAAACAAATCCAGCATGGCAGCGGCAGCGGCGACAGCGGCAACAGCCTTGGGAACATCGAACGGGTTGGGGTATGCGGCCGGTACGACGGCGCGGGGCGCGGCTGCGACGCGCACCAAGGGCGTGGACGACCTCACGATCAAGCTCGAGTTTGGGTGCGTGGCTGGTCGGCCGAGCTGACAATAGCGGCGGACTGCACCTCCTCTTCTCGGCGCAGCCACGACACGTCGTGCACGTTCCCCGCACGAACGAGGGGCGGCCGGCTGACATCCGGTTCCTCATCCAGTGGATGACGAAGAACCTCGTCAGCGAGCGCGAGGACATGTTCATTGATGGCGAGAGCGTGTGAGTTTCCGTCTGGATGGCGCTGTGTCGCTTCAGAGGACACAATCTTGTGGAAGGAAAGAAAGGCTAATCGCAGACGCCCCGGTATCCTCGTGCTGATCAACGACGCCGATTGGGAGCTTGAGGGGGAGCTGGACTACGAGCTCCAAGATGGTGACGAAATCGTGTTCATCTCGACGCTGCATGGAGGATGACACGTCAAATGTTCTATATGCACGTCGAGGGTTCTGTACAGATAGCATAGAGATGTACCATAGCACGACGTTGGGAGCTACGCACGCTGCATCACGATGCCGCAATACACGCAGCACACAGAACTGGACATCCGCGCGCGATCGATCCCCGGACGCGTCGCAAAAGTCAACGCCGCCACCCAGTGACCTCATCGTCTTCACATTTCGCAACTTCTCAATCCTCACTTCACCATGTTCAAGAAGGCGCTCGCGCACCACTCGAACGCGACGCCAATCCGCTCGAGTGCGCGCCGTGCGCTCGTCACCTCCATCTTTGCGCAATATCCTGCGCTCTCCGAGCATGTCGGCGAGGAGGAGGGCATGCTGAGCGAGAAGGACCTCGGGCGCGCGCTCGTGCCCGACGGTGTCCGCAGCTCCAACTTCGAGACGAGCGCCGGAATAGAAGGGGTGAGCTATGAGCACTACCCAGCTGACAGTAGACAATGTATCTCTCTCCGGACGGCGACCCACTCTGGCTATCCATCGGGCGCGGCAGCAAAGAGCTCGTGCCGACACGTACGTCCATGTCTAGCAGCGCTGACCCCAGTCGCCCTGCTCGCTCGCCTCCCCCACGACGTCCACCCCTTCCCCGTTCTACAGCTCCCGTCTCCTCTTCCTCCACCGCTGCTAGCAGGCGCAGCGCTGTTCCTCCCCGCTGTACGACACCTGCACACCCCGTGGCGGCTACCCGCTCTTCCTGCAGGCGCCATCGTTGCCTTGGCGGCGGGCGGGAGTGGCGACGTCTTGTATGTTGGTGTTGGGCGGGTTGCCGCTGCGGACGGGCTTGAGGGAGCGCTGGGACGGCTCGTGAAACACCGCAACGAAGGAGTTGAGCGGGACGAGGGAAAGTTCGCCGACATCATCTGCATCATCGACGACCAGTGAGTTATGCTTGCGATTTCGCTGAATCCAGCCTCTGGGAGATGGGATCCAAGCCAACTTTGGCGCCCTTTGCCCTCCCGGCGCCTCGGGATCCGCTTATGCCACCGCCCCAGGACGAACCGAAAGATGTGGACGAGGCCGCCGAGGGCGTCGCAGCGGTGTCCCTCGACGACAATGCGGAAGAACCTCAGATTCAGGCATCCGAGCCCCTCGCTCCGGCCGAGGTGTCCACCCTTCTTTCTGCCGCGCTGCTGCAGACGCTCGCGACCCTGCCAGCAGGCACCTTGCCCCTCCCGGCCTCGCAGCTCTACTCAGCACACATTCTGCCGAACCGGCCCGCCTACATTCCGCCAGAGCGGCGTGAAGACGTGGTCATCGGGCGCAGCGAGTGGAAGAAACTGGCCAAGTGGATGAAGGAGGTGGCGAAAGACGGTGTTATCAAGACGAAGGAGACGAAGGGGGAGGTGGTAGTCACATCGTAAGTTTGCCCATGACGTTGCTGATACAGATTCGACCCGAAGCATCCAGCAATTGACGGACATGCATCGTTCAAGACCATTTCGGAAGATGAGGCGAAGGCGGCCCGTCGCGCGGCGCGGGAGGAGGAAGCTGCTGTGCCGAAACAGATGGACATCCAGGAGCTGTGGAAGCCAGCGGGGTCCAATGCCGAGTTCTGGGCTGCATGTGGCATCGAGAAGGGATCACTCAACCAGCCGTCGGCTATCAAGCCACTTGTTGACGCGTACATTGAGAGGAACGGTTTGGAGGATAAGGAGCACCGTCGTCTCGTGAACCTTGACAAGGCCCTGGCTTCCGCTGTCGGCGGCAAGGAGGGGCAGACGCTCATTCGGGACGAATGTATGCGGCGTCTTCGATCGGGACTTGGCTGGGCAGTCTCAGTCGGAGGCCACGTCAAGAAGGGCGCCCTCACTCCAATCAGCATCGTCGTCAAAACGCGCCAGGGGCGTAAGCAGGTCACGCTCGTAGCTGGGCTCGAGGGCTTTGGCATCGACCCCGACGACTTCGCCGACGACCTTCGCCGCCGCTGTGCCGGCTCCACGTCGGTCCAGCCCCTGACGGGTTCGTCCCCGAAGCTCAACCTCAAGGAGGTGATGGTGCAGGGCTCCCAGGGCAAGGCGGTGACAGAGGCGCTCACGGAACGCGGAGTTCCGCGCCGCTGGATCAAAGACGAGGGCAAGAAGAAGTAGCTAGTGAGATCTTATGCATTAGATGTTGAGATCATACAAACCTATGACAACTGTTAAAGTCTTTTCTACTGTTTACTCCATGGACAGGGCATTCTGCAGGCCCGCGACCTCCATGACACCACCGACGAGGTGCAGCGAGCCGGCGACGAGGACAGCGCGCTCCCCCTCTCCAGCACGGACAATGTTGACGGCATGCTCAATGCTCGGCACGACATGCACCTGCCCCCCAAACCCGGGGACGAGCTTGCCCCAAGCGTCCGCGAGGGCGCGCTGCGTCGCGAGCGCAGCGAGGTCGTTGGGGTCGATAGCCGCCGCGGTCAAGTCGCCCTTGAAGTGTCCGTCGGTGTACGTAACGTTCGTGCAGAAAATGACGTCCTTGAACCTCGCGCCGAGCGCCGCGCGGTCTGTGCCGGCCGCCGTAGCGCCGGCGTCGAGCAGCGCAGCGAGGAGGACCTCGCTTTGGCGCCCGCCCGATGTGTTGAAGATGAGGGCGGACGGGCGCGGCGCGCCGCCCCACGCCCACTCGCCGCACGAGCGCAAGCTCTCGACCGTGTGTGCGCCGTCGAGGAGCCAGGTGATGTGCGGGTCCGTCTCGTCCTGCGCCGTCTGGCAGCGGCCGGGCCAGCGCGTAGCCGCGAGCGGCGCCTCAAACGCCTTCGGGAGATCTGTGTCCTCCACGCTACGCCCGGAGACCTGGAGGAAGCGCTTGGCGAGCCCGACCGCAAGCGCGGCGTTCACGCGCTGGTGCTCGCCGCGCAGGCCGAGCAGCACGCCCGCCGGCAGGGGCGGCACGACTTCGAAGGGCGCCCCGACGCGGTCCGCGCACGCGCGCAGGACCGCCAGGCCTGCCGCCTGCTCCTGCGGCACGCTCAGCGCCGGCACGCCCGCCTTGTAGATCCCGCCCTTGTTCGTCGCGATCTCCTCGATCGTGTTCCCCAGCACGGCCGTGTGGTCCAGGCCCAGTGCGCTCACGCCCGTCACGACTGGGCGCGGGACGATGTTGGTGCTGTCGTACGTCCCGCCAATGCCGACTTCCAGGACGGTCGCGTCGACGCCCATCGAGAGGAAGGCGTGGAACGCGAGGAGCGTCAGGAAGCGGAAGTAGATGGGGAAGACGGGCGTGTGCTCCGTGATTGTCTGAGTCAGAACTTGTGGAGGAGCGTCAACGTACCTTCTGATCGGCTTCGAGACGCTCCCACACCTCGAAGAAGTACTTGGCAAAGTCGTCTTCAGAGAGCGGCTCACCATTGACGCGGATGCGCTCGCGCACGGCGCACAAATGCGGAGAGGTATAGAGGCCTGCGTTCAGTTACGCCTACCTCGAAGCACGCACCGATCTTGCCACCGCTCAGCTGCGAGCGGATGATGCGCTCGGTGAACGCCGAGGTCGAGCCCTTGCCCTTCGTGCCCGTGATGTGCACGACGTTGAGCTTGTTCAGGTCGTCCGGCTGGTATCCGATGCGGCGGAGGTAGTCGAGCATCTCCTTGATGCCCCACTCGTTGAGGCGGCCGCCGGACTTGCGGATCGCCTCGATGCTGCGGTCAGCGAGCGCCGGCGGGGTGCGCACGTCGCGGCATTGCTCTGGCACGTGTTCAGCAGCCGGATCGCCTCCTTCGCGTCAGCGCACTCGCGGCCGCGCCCACCGAGTAGGTTCTTGAGCGCGCCATCCGAACCAGTGTGGGGAGCATGTGGGAGATGCCGTCGGAGTAGTTGAATGTCGTGGTCCATGCGGCACATGCATTCCAACTTTCGGGTGAGTCACGTGAGCCTCCTCCACTCTCTGAAGTTGGCCAACCGCGGAAAGCAAAGAGCGCGATCCGCACGACGACAAGACACCAACACTCGAGCATGAGGAGAATACTGCTGCCCCGCGTGGCAGCGTGCGGGCCATTGGGTGGACGCGGTCTCGGCCTCGTGCGTGCCCGTGCCCTCGGCTTGCGCTTCAGCTCCTCCGAGCCACCAGCAACGGAGACTATCACTGAGGCGCCGACACTGCCGTCGTTCTTCTCGCCCCCGGCGGCGGAGATGACCAAGCCGTTCTACGTCACCACACCGATTTTCTACGTCAACGCCTCCCCGCACATTGGGCACCTGCACTCGGTGGTCCTCACCGACGTCCTGGCGCGCTTCTCGCGGCTGCGGCATCCCTCCCGCCCCGTCGTCTTCTCGACCGGGACGGACGAGCACGGCCTCAAGATCCAGCAGGCGGCCGCGCGCGCCGGCATCTCAGAACATGCGTTCTGCGACGACGTCTCTCAGCGCTTCCGTGACCTTGCAGTGCGCGCCAACATCTCCCACACGGACTTCATCCGTACCTCCGAGGAACGGCACTACCGCGCCGTCGAGGCGTTCTGGGCCAAGCTCTACGCGACTGGCAACGTGTACAAGGGCACGCATGAGGGCTGGTACTCTGTCTCGGACGAGAGCTTCTTCTCCGCCAAGCAGGTTGAGGAGCGCGACGGCAAGATGATTGCTACCGAGACGGGCAACGAGGTGACATGGGAGACGGAGGAGAACTGGAAGTTCCGGCTCGACGCGTACAAGCCGCAGCTCCAGGCATGGCTGGCGAACCCCGAGTGTAAGCTCGTGACAGGGAGGAGCTGACCGCAGCTGTAACGCCGACGCATTTCCACACGGCTATCGCCAAGGAGGTCGAGGCTGCTGGGGAGCTCAGCATCTCCCGCCCCTCCTCCCGCGTCAAGTGGGGCGTCCCGGTGCCCGGCGACGAGAGCCAGACGATCTATGTCTGGGTTGACGCTCTCATCAACTACCTCACTGTGGCAGGATATCCTGACGCGCACGCCGCCTGGCCGGCAGACATGCATGTGGTTGGGCAGGACATTATTCGGTGCGTGGCATCACAAAGCAACGCCAGCTGACGGCAGTTTCCACGCGTTCCACTGGCCTGCCTTGCTCGCCGCTGCTGGGGAAGCCTTGCCGAAGCGGGTGCGTGCCCACGCCCACTGGACGATGCACAAGGCCAAGATGTCCAAGTCACGCGGCAATGTTGCCGACCCCTTGGCCGCGATGGACAAGTTCGGCGCGGACGGCGTGCGATGGTACCTCATGCGCGCCGGTGGCTCGCTTCCGCGGGACAGTGACTACTCCGAGTCCGAGCTTGAGGCGAGCTACGGCAGGCTGCAGGACCAGTTGGGTAATCTCGTCTCGCGCCTTTCTTCGCCGAAGGTGCTCGCGAATGTCGGCTCCTTTGAGGGCAAGTCCGTCCCCCATCTCGACGCCGCACTTGGAGGGCTTCGGGATGAGGTCGAGGTGCGCTTCGAGGAGTGCAATATCTCAGCGGCATGCGAGGCCGTGCTCTCCATGCTCGGCGACGTGAACAAGTTCTTCACGGATGCCGCACCATGGCGTGGTGACGGCACGGCTGCCGTAGTGTACGCCCACGAGGCCTTGCGTCTCGCAGGCATCCTCACCTCCCCGATCCTGCCGGAGAAAAGCGGGGAGCTACTCGACCGCCTCGCCGTCCCCGCTGACAAGCGGACATGGGACAGCGCGGTACTGGGAGAGCCCGATGTCCAGGCTATTGTGGACGGGATAGGCGCAGGGATCCAGGCGTTCGCCGGCGCGCCGCCGCTCTTCCCGAAGATCGACGATGCCGGCGCGCAGCACATGATCAACCCCCACAACGGGGGAAGAAAGCGCCGCACCAAGTAGACTGTACATATGCATACCACTCATCGCATCACTTCCACAGTGAGGCGCCTGCTTCGTCGAGAGCGCGCTTGACTGCTTTGCCCCGCTTATTGGGGACGAGCGCAAGAGCTGTTGGGAAGTGCTCACTACAATCAGGACCCATTCTTCGCCTGTGGCACCGAGAAACTCACGGCTCTTCAACCCAGAGGTGGTGCGGGATCCCAGCCTTCTCTAATGCGGTGTGGAGGCGCTGCAGCGCTTCTTCGTCCGGTACCTCCAACAACGCCTTGCGCATGTCCATCCAACCTCGCCCGTCATCGCCAGCCAAATACCGCTTCATGTCCGGATGTTCAGCGTGCAGGTGCTGCACAGCGGAAGCGGCGTGAGCCGCCTGCGCCATGAGCGGTCCGATGGGCCAGTTGTGCGTCTAGTGAGCGGAGCCGGGGTGTTACTCACTGTCATCAAGTCGCGCCGGACGACGATCTGCATCACGAGGCCGGTCGGTTTTCGCGCCTCGCTCACCGCCGCCGCCGCCTCCGTCTTGGCCTGGGTGCTCATTCGTCGGAGCGCGCGGAGCATATGTCGAATGCAGAGACGTACTCGCCTGCTCAGACATTGAGAGTGGAGGTGCGGAGATCATGTCCGTTGCACGTGGCCTCCACTCGCACTGATGACGCGCGGCGTGCTGAGTGTAGGTCTTGTCATCGCTCTATCAGCACCAGCACCATGTCGGACAAGGAGACGCTCATTTCCATGGGGTTTGATGCGGAGCGCATCGACTGTGAGTTCTTGTTGCTCTGTTTTCGCCCGCGACTTGCGAAGCCACGGCGGCTAAGCAGTTCCTGTGGTGGAAGTGAGGAAAGTGATGGAAAGGCGTCGGGGACGGTTTGGTGTTCGAGACGATACTAGTAACCAGCTGGCTTCTTTTTCCTAGCAGCAGTTTCTCGTCGGGGCTAACCTTAGGGGCCCTTCGCGCAACCAAGAATGCAGGACTCCAGCCGGCCATGGACCACATCCTCGCTCACAACGATGAACCTGTGCCAACCGCTGAGGAGCTGGCCGAAGAGCTCGGCGAGGAGGCCAATATCCCCGACGTGGGCGAGGCGAAGAGCATCAAGTGCTCCGAGTGTGGCAAGACTTTCCGTTCGCAGGCGACGGCCAGCTTCCACGCCGAGAAGAGCGGACACACCGATTTCGAGGAGAGCACCGAGGAGGTGAGTGCGAGCTTCTCCTCGCCCAGCTCTCGCCAGTTGAAGGACGCACGGTTGCTTGATCAACAGCAGCAGTCTACCCCCCCCCCCCCCCCCCCCCCCCCCCCCCCCCCCCCCCCCCCCCCCCCCCCCCCCCCCCCCCCCCCCCACCAACCCCAAAACGCCCCTTCCCCATCGACCCCACTCGTCGCTGACACCAGATCAAACCCCTCACGGCTGAGGAGAAGGCGGCCAAGCTCATCGAGCTCAAGGAGAAGCTCGCCGCCAAGCGCGCTGCCCAATCCAAGGAGGACGAGAAGGCTGCGCGTGCCAACGAGGTGAGTCTGGCCCGCACATTAATATTGTGAGACGCACTTACACCAGGCCCTTCGTCGCAAGGCTGGCCAGGACAGCGGCCGGATCAAGGAGGAGATGCAGGCCAAGGAACTCGAGCGTGAGGCTGCTCGCAAGCGCCAGGAGAAGATTGCCGACCAGAAGGCGCGTGCCGCCGTGAAAGCGCAGATTGAGGTGAGCTTCTAACACCTGTCCACGCTGACGCTAGGCCGACAAGCGTGAGCGCGCCGCCAAGGCGGCTGCGGAGAAGGCGGCACGCGACGGTAAGCCACCACCTGAGGCCGTTGCGGCCCCGCCGAAGCCTGCAGCTATGGCGGCAGGCAAGAGCAGTGAAGCACCTGAGACGCGCCTCCAGATTCGCCTGCACGTCGGCGGCGCTCCTCTTGTCAAGACGTTCCCCAGCACAAGCAGTGAGCACCTTGCAACGTCGCCCTACTGACATCAGCCCTCGTTGACGTTGCCGAGTTCGTCAGCTCGGAGAATCTTGCATACTCCGTCGACACTGTCCGGTTCGCGACCACATTCCCGCGTAAGACCTTCGCTCCAGAAGACATGCGTAAATCGCTCAAGGACAACGGGCTGACCCCGAGCGCGGTGCTCATGGCGAGTTTGTAGCATGTGGGGCGGAGCGAGCATGAAGTATCAAACATCTTTGCATCATAGTACACTTCTAATCACTTCACACACTCAACCCGACCCATCAAGGCGTCACCTACTGTCCCACCGTCGATTTACGGTCCTTGAGCACAGTCCCGCCCGCCTTGCGCACATCATCCAGCCAGCGCTGGGTGATGCGGCTCTCGGCAAGTGGCATGCGCTCACTCTCAGTCTTGCCGTCGCGAATACACCGTGCAACCTCGTCGGCCTCGTAGTGCATGCCCCCACCGGCCTTGGTTGCAGGGAACTCGTTGGTCTCGCGCTCCTTGATGCTTCCGGGCTCGAAGCTGGCGTGGGGCACGATGGTGAAGCGCTCCGGCCGCCAGGGCGGGTCTGATGTCAGCCGCGCTGGGAAAAGTGTTCGTGGACTCTCGGGAGATTTCCTCAACAACTCGGCCCATTTATCTGTCCACACCTCAGGAAACTCACATGCCAAGGCAACGTCCGCCTCCTCGCAGGTGATGACAGCACACGCATCGTTGAACCCGCTCGCAGTCATGTCCGTGACGAGGGTCGCGTCTGCAAAGTCCTTCCAGCTCACGACCCATGTGCTTGCCGCGTCTACTCCGGAGCGCTCGTACACCTTCTGGTACGAAGCGACGACGCGGGGGTCGGAGTCGGTGTTGTCCGGGTGCTGGTGCAGGGCCAGCATAGCCCACACGCTAGGGTAGGGGCCTTGGTCGAGGAGGCTGCCGCCCCCCTGCTCGGGATCCACCATGCGGTTCGAGTCGGGGCGGGCTGGCGTTAGCAAGCTGGCGGACTGTGGTTGTCATAAGGGGAGGCCTCACTGTCGGGCTCAAAGTTCATGCTGAAGTCGGCGGACATGCGCTTGATCTTGCCCAGACGGCCGGACTTGAGGAGGTCCTGGAGGGCATACGCGATGGGGTGGAAGCGGGTCCAGACAGCCCTGGGGTGAGCGACACTCAGCACTGGGACGCACTCCATGAGGAAGAGGTTCTTCTCCTTTGCGATCTTGATGAGCTCGTCGAGCTCCTCCAGGTCGAACGTGAACGGCTTCTCGCACAGCACATGCTTGCCCGCAAGCAGGGCAGCCTTGGCGTTGGCGTGGTGGAACGTGTGCGGCGTGCCGATGTACACAGCGTCGACGTTGGCGTCCGCGAATACCTCGTCATACGATCCGTACGCCTTGGCGCCGTCCAGCACGCCGTGCTCCAGCCCCCACGCATTCCACCCGACCTCGCCCCACTGGTTCGGGCTCGGGTTGCTCTGGAGGCGGTCGATAAACTTCTGTGCCGACGCGACGGAGCGCGAGCCAACTGCGGCGATCTTGTGCGCCACGTCGCTTTCGCGCGTTGCTGGGTCGATGAAGAGGTCCTGCCGTCAGTTACCGGCCAGCCGAGATTGCGACCCACCTCGGCGAACTTTGTGCTGATGCCGCCCGTCGCGATGATGCCCCAGCGGAGAGTGAACGTCATTTTGGCTGAAGAGGAGAGGGAAAGTTGGGGAACTGGGATACATGCTGCGCATTAAGTATTGGCCGGTGACGATGGATGTTCGACCGCGCGGCGCTTTGTCCGACAGCGGAAATGAGCCGGCGCCGGCGCCGATCTCCGGGTGGTAATTGGGACGTCAACAACATCACGTGACTTTCACACTAGAGCCACGTGACAAAAATGCCTCCGCGTCTCATGTCCTGATCAACAAGCTAAACAGAGAGAACAAACGCGTCTTGCGCATACCCCCTCCGTGTTTGGTTCGATACTCGCTTCATTCCATTCAACTTGTCACCACATCTACTCCTACTCACCTCCGTCTCTTCGCACGGCCATGTTCTAATCTGATGGACACTCTTCGCCCTCCACAGTCCACACCCTCCCTCACATCCTCCCTCACAAGCTCCACCTCGTCGTCCATGCCGTCCCATGGGCGCCCATCGCCCCCCCTCGACCCCGTCCAGACTCCAGCCCGCCCTCTCTGCGATGCCACACCCCTCAATCCGACAGACAGGCTCCGTGCTCTCCTGCGACAGATGGATTCCGATGCGCACGGCCCTAGCCCAGCGCGCTCACGATACGGGAGTGAGAGCACTCCACGGCCTCCCCCACCCCTGTCAGCGCCGGCCCCAGTGCGCATCGAGAGCGAGGACGATAGCCCGCCCAGTCCTCCCCCAAGAATACACTACGCGCGTCTACGCCGCGAGACACCTCAGCAGCCACCAGCAGAGTCGGAGGAGCCGTCTCCGCCCCGTCGCCTTGCCGCGCTGCCCAAACGCGCGAGCCCACCTCGCCGTTTGCCCTCCCGCGCCGTTGCGTTGCGTGCTGCCGCGGCTGCTGCTGCTGCTCAGGAAGCACAAGAGCAAGAGGCGCTGCCCCGCCACACCCGCGAGAAGAGCGCGCCGACCCCGCTTGAGAACTTTATCGCCAGTGCCGCACCGCCCACGCCGTACGCGGCCCCCCACCGCCTCTCCCTCTCCGGGGAGACGCGTCGGCCCACGTCCATGTCAATACCTGAAGCGACGCCACGCGCGCGACGCCCAACTACCCCGCCCTACTCCCCGCCGCGCGCGACGACTCCGCCTCGCGCCCCCTCGTCATCCTACACTCCCTCTCCGCCGCGACGCACCTCCGAACTCCGCCAGCCCCCGTCGCCCTCTCCGCGAAAGGCCAAGGCGCCATCTTACCGAGATGAGGAGCCTGAAGAACCCGAGCCGCCGAGACGGCGCGACCGCCGCGTTGCGACGCCGCCCAACACATCCGCGTCGTTTGAGGCAGGGCTCAACGACGCGCACAACTCCGTGCTGGATCTCGAGGACAGTGAATTGAAATGGAGAGACGATAGTGTCGAGAGTTCAGACTCATCCGTCCCAATAGACATGAACAGAGGTCCTACGGCGCGGATGGTCGCGGCCGAGGAGCTGAGCATGTCGCGATCGCGCAAGTCGTTGTCAGCCGAGAGCTCGCCCAAAACGCCTCGCTCTTACGTTACCGCTGAGCGGTCGACGCCTCATTCCAGAACCCCGATATCCGAGCGCTCGCCCTTCTGGACGGCGCGCTCAGAGGCTGCATCCGCATCCAAGTCGTACGCGACTGCGGAGCGCCTGCCAACGGTGTCGCCATCGCTCCCGACCCCGGCGGGGCCGTCGAAGGGGCGCAGCTTCGAGCGCTCACCCTCGGAGCAGCAGACGCAGCGGTCACCCACAGAGCAGCAGACGCAGCGGTCGCCAAAAGGGAAAGGCGTCGATCACAAGCGCAGACCCAGCGTCGACGCGTCGCTGTCGCTCGTGCAGCCGGAGGCGTCGGACGAGGAGCCGGAGACCTCGGCAGCCGTGGCGCGGCGCAACATGTTCCACCCCCAGTCACCCGCGCCCGAGCCCGAGCCAACCCGCGCTGGCAAGCGCCGCCTCTCTGCCTCGCGCCGCGAGTCAGAAACCCGGTACGCAGCGCTCAAGGCCTCGATGGGCGCCGACTCGGACTCTGAGGACGGCAGAATCCGCCCCGGGCAGTCGAGGCAGGACTCGTCGCTCCTCGGCTCGCTGTGGAAGGGCCTGCCACCGGGGTTGCGGGACGACTCGTCGTTCCTCGACATGAACGATCGGCCGACGCTCGCGGAGCTCTCGACGCAGGTGGACCCGACGCTGATGGCCTCGGCGATGCCGCGCGACTCTCAGCCGCGGCATGTGTGGAAGTGGAGCGAGGAGAGCGAGTCCACTCACCGGGTTGAGCGGTCCGAGGATAGCCAGTCCACTCGCCGGTTGGAAAGGTCCGAGGAGAACGAGTCCACTCACCGATTTGAGCGATCTGAGGAGAGCGGATCATCCCGTCAACTTGAGCGGTCTGAGAATCGCGGCTCTCTTCAGTACGAGAGTCCCGCGGCGCGGGACATTTCTCTCGCCAAATCTGACTTTGATGCCCTTGATGACCTGCCGCAGAGCTCACCGCCGCGCGGCTCACCCAACAACAAGCTGCGCCAGTCGATTGGCAAGCCTCTCACACTGCGTCAGTCGCTGGAGCTCGGCCTGCGAGGAGACGAACCAAGTGAGAGCCAACTCGAGCCCGAAGCAGTTGCGGATGAGGGCGCAACGGACGCGGACCGCGAGTGGCGTCCCGAAGCCTTGGACACGACATCTGACTCGTGGCTCGAACTCAATGCTGCAGCTGCGCTAAATCCTCCTTCGCCAGAACCCTCCAGACTCTCTCCACCTCTGGAATCGCCCGCACGCGCAGACAGCGACACGCTTCCAGACACGCCGCCGCGCCAGCGCCAGGGCATCCACCGCACCCTCCTCCGCGCCGCGACCACTCCCGCGCCACCAGCACCGGCGCCTGTCGCCCCGACGCCGCTGCGCAGTGCGCTAAAAGGCGGGCGCTTCGAGGCGCGATTCCAGCGCAACGCGCCTGCTTCGCCGTCAGTGCGCTGGAGCGAGGAAGTGTTGGCCAACGACCCCACGACTGACGAGGAGTCAGTCCTCGAGGCCATCCCTGAGCCGGAAATGGAGCCTGAGCCGCAAGTCCGCCCCTCGACCTCCCCGCCAAGCACGCCGCCGCCGCATCTCACCACCCCACAACCGCACAGCTCGCCTAACGCACCCCTCAACCCGGAGGCGTTCACCACACCTGTTCACGCGCCAGCCAATGTCCGCACGCCTCGTCCCCCAGGGGCTTGGGGCACACCATTGCCTCCCCCAGGCTTGCCACCGAGCATGCCACTCCCGGCGCCACCCATCAACGGGCCGCCCGGGCCGCCCAATGCTGCGCCGCCCGCTGTCTTCCAAACTCCTGGTCTCCCGACCCCACGCGCTCCTGGCGCATGGTACTCGCCCGCGCGCTTCGCCCCGGCCCGCATGTCGCGCCTCAGAAACGAGGTGCTTCTCGACGACAGCCAGAGCTCGACTGCGAGCAGTGAGGTGTCTGTCCATCGAATGTCGTTCAGCCCCAAGCGGCGGCGAAAGTTTGGTTCGCCTCGCACACCGCGCCCGCTCCTCCCGGAGACACCGGTGGCTGCCAAGCTTGAGCGGCCCATCTTAGAAGAGGACGCAGGCTCTGAGGTCAACCCCTCAGCGGACCAAGAGCCAACCAACCCGAAACTGCCTTCGCCAGAGGTGGCCACGCCGAACGCGCGCTCGCCAGGCATCAACCCGCAGAGCACGCCACAGGTGGCGGAGCCGCGCACGCCACACCCACCCGGTGCGATGCCCAAGGACGAGCCGGAGGACGGGGACACGTCGTGGACCGCGCGCATCAAGCGTGTGTTCACCCCCGGGCCAACGACGCCGTTAATGCCCTCGACGCCAATGACGCCGCGCACGGCGTCGCGCACGCGCCTCGCAGAAGCTCAAGATGCGCTGGACACGGCCTCTCGCGCGTCCGAAAAGGCACGTTCGCGCGTCTCCGCAGCGCAGAACGCATGGCGCGCGGCAGTAGCCACACGCTCCGCGCCCGATCCCGAGCCCGAGCCAATGCCCAAGCCAGAGCCCAAGCCAGAGCCAAAAGCCCTCGCGCCCGCCCCGCGCCCGTGGACCCTCTGGCTGCTATACCTCTGCGTCGAGTTGCTTGTGCTGTGGGCTGTGTTCCGCGTTACGCTCGAGTACGCGTCGAGCAGCGCGTTCATGGCGCGCAGCGACCCCTTCGGGCCCTTCGCGCCCGGGTACGCCGTCGGCGTGCGCTTGCCGGCGTCGCTGGCGGCGTTTGAGAAGCATGCGCCGCCGAGCGCGAATGTGTTTGACCTGCTGGATGCTTTGGGGCTGGGGATGGGCGCGCTGCGGTGGGCCCCGCCCACGTAGACTGTATTACTATGTATGCCTAGTCTTGGATCTTGCATGCGACGATGCCAGAAGTGTATTAGACGCGCGGATGGCGGACATGTGCATGAAGCCCAGGTGCAGAGTACATGGGGGCGACGACAACGGAAGAAGAAAAACACCCACGCCATCGCACTGCCATTCAACTCCACGCCTCGAGTCGATGCTCCTTTTGCGTCCCGCCACGCGCTCAAGTGCAAAGATCATAGAATGCAGAGTATTGACGACGCTTTCAGCCGAGCCAACCACGCTCGGCTGTCGACGATGTCGCGATGCTACTATCTAACGCAGACGTGGGTGACAGGTCTGGAGTTAACGAAACAAAGCGAATTTGCTCTGGCGCCCGTCGCCCGCTGCTCCCAGAAACTGGGAGGTTGAGGCGCCCGAGTCGGCAAGACAATAGTCGTGTCGAGGTGGGAAGGCGCGATGAGAAAAGTCGACAGGCCAAACCGCAATTTATGTTGGGCTGGGGTGGAGGTTCATTCTTTATTCCACCCGCCCCCTTGTAGGAAGCGACAATGACGCCCGTTGCGCTGAGATCGATGTCACAACCTCCGTCAAGTGACTCCGATATGGCCAGCACCGACGCGCCGGCAGCGCAGGCTGCCTCAGCGCCTAGAGACGAGGGTGCGCTCGAGGCGTCAACTCCCACCCGTACCCCCGAGGCACCGGCAGACGAGTTCGACGCGGACCTCGTCGCCGACCTCCATGACGCCTTTGGCATGATGTACGCCGGCAGCGAATGGGACAGCGACGACGAGGTGCGCTTAACACCGAACTTGCGCTGACAGCAGGAACAGCACCCGAAACGCACGACAGATGGCTTCGACCTCGTGCGTCCTACCGATTCCCTTGTACTGACGCCAGCCATCTCTCCTCTCCGAGCTCGCGGCCCTCATCTCATTCCCCCAACAGGCGGGAACGAAGCGCCGTCTCTTTCCACCTCGCACCCGCGCGCCATCCGTCTTCCCCTCGACCTCGCCCATCCCCCCTCTCCCACCAGCAACAGCCTACCTCCCCTTCTCGCCGCTGCCCCTGCTCGCGCGCCTGCGTACCTTCGGCGCCTCGGGCCTCTCGCCCACCGTGCCACCCGAAATAGGGGCATTGGCCTGCGCTCTCCACGGCTGGGTTAGTGCTGGGCGGGACGCGCTTGCCTGCGCTCACGCATGCGGCGCCACATGGGGCGTTGGCGGCCTGTCCGATCTCCGACCAGCAGTGCGCGATGGCGTTGTCCGCCGCCTCAAGTCAACGCTTTCGAGCCGCCATGCTCCTGGCTGCGCGTGGCGGATCACCGCGTCCCCGCCCGAACTCCCATCCGACCTCAGGCGCATCCTCCACCCTCTGACGGCAACGAGCCTCGCGCCATTATCCCGCGCACTCGCGCAACAATCTCTCTCGGGCCCTCTTGCTCCCGTCTGGAGCAGCCCAGTTTCAGGCGAGGAGATCCAGCATCTTGCTATTGCGCTGCGCCGCCACCTCCCGCCCCTCGGGCCAGATCCCGAGTCGGAGAACCGCACTGCTGGCCCTCGACCACCCGAGCCGAAGGAGCTGCTCGCCTCCGCACTTGCACTTTTTGGCTGGTTCCCGTACGACCCCTCGTTCCCGACCGACCACGTGCTGGCGCACGGCACGCCGACCGACATTGTGGCGTGCCGCATCTGTCGCCGTCGCGTTGGCTTGTGGTCCTTCGCTCCGGAGCATGGGCGTGCGCTGGACCTGGGAGCTGCGCACGTCTCCTGGTGTCCCCTGCGTGCTGAGGGGTGGTGGCGCGAGAGTGCGCTCGTCGCTGGGCGGAGAGAAGGAATACTGATGGATCCCAAGACACTGGGAGAAATGCTCATCGTCAGCGACGACGGCCGGCCGAAGAAGAAGTGGCGTCGGAGGTAGCGGCTAGGAGGTGATGGTCAGCGAGCGGCGGTAGTGTAGAGTACTGTTGTATGCATCTAGTAGCATCGTGCCGAGACGCGCCCGTATTGGTGGAAGGCCACAGAAGTCGCCTCAGACTGTGTAGGTTGCTCGCCTCGCGACTCGCTACAAGTACGCGTCGGCGCCCTTCGCGCGCCTGACTGTCCCCTCGGTCCGCTCCTTGGCCTTTTCGCTGACGACGGGCGCATCCGCAGGTGCGGCCGTAGCCTCCGCGACGACTAGAGTCAGCGCCTTCCCTCCCGATACCCACTCTTGCTCCACTCAGCAGCAGCCGCCTCGTCCCCGCCCTCCTCGACCTCCTGTTCTCTCTCATCGCGCTTGGCGCGCTGTTCCCTCCGCCCCCGCAACACCTCCCACCAGCTGACGTCGCGCATCTCCTCGATCTGCGCGCCTGCGCTCGCTGCCGTCCGTTCCCTCAACCCGACCATCTCGAGCTCGCGGCGTATCTCGAGGTCCGGCACGACCTCGCCAGCCCCAAAGCGCGCCATGAGGCCGCGCAACACCGACTCCTGCGCGGCGCCGCGCTCCCGCTCTGCCTCGCCCTGCTTGCGCACGCGCAGCAAGTGCATCGCGAGGCTGGTGATGATCGTCCAGATCACGAGGAAGGGGATGAGCGGCTTAAGGCGCTCCGAAATCGGCGGGATGTCTTCGGGGCGCGGCCCGAAGTGCTCGGGCGTGATGCCGAGCGCGAGGAGGTCTTCTTCCGCAGGTCGCGCAGGAGGTGCAGGAGGGGCAGAGGATAAGGACGAGGCCGAGACGGGGGGTGGGGGCGGGGCATGGGGCGGAGAGTAAATGGATGCGGGGGGAGGCGAGACTGTCGCCAGAGCCCTCGCGCTCACGAGTCGCGTCCGCGCGACTCGAAGACCGGCGCGTGCGAGCATGGTGGTGGATAGAGGCGGGGAGTAGAAGAGCAACAATCGGAATCCGCTCGGCACTTTCGACTTTTCTGTTTCGCCTCCACCCATCTATGACCACCGGAGCATAATGTCGCCTCCTCTCGCGTGCCAGCGCGAACGCGACGAGCTCGCACAGTGTATTCTGCGGACGGACTGGTGAGTGAGCGCGGGGGGTTAGGGAGTTGGCAGAGCCGCAAGGTGTGCGTGCGTGAAGGCGCGTCCTACTCTGCTGCCGTGGTCATCGGCGTGCGCCCGCGCCGCCCGCTGATGTTTCCATCGCTCTGAGGCCGCTCGTCGCCTCCTCGACAGCACCCGGTTTTCTGGCGCGATGCCTGTTCGACGACAGCTCACCCCAGCGTGCTCAAGCAAGGCAAGTCGCCAAAAGAGTGCCTCAGCAATAAGGACAACTTGCCACTGCAGTGCCAGCACCTCCTCGCGTCGTTCTCGGACTGCAAGCGTGGATTGGTGAGTGCGGGCTCCGGGCGGGCTGGAAGGCGGGGCGAGAGGAGCGCTTGGAGCGTGGACGCAGAGGAGCGGATAGGCGGGCAGGAGGAGCAGAGGAGCATGTAGACGAGTAGGGAGCAGAATCGGAGCGGGTCGACGCTCGCAGCGATGCGCGGTCCGAGACCAGCTGGAACTGTCCTCCTCACTTCGTCACCCCTCCTCACCACCCCATACCGGGCACGACAGTGCGATCCATGGTGGCACGGGCCCCATCCTTGTTGCTGCTGCCAGAAGAACCCGCTCACACCAGCTCGACATGCGCCGCCGCTTCCGCGGAAACCACCTGAGCGACGAAGCGAAGCGCGGCGGCGCGCCCGCCGACGCCGCCCTGGGAAGCAAGTAGATGTAGTGATCTCTCCTGTATGCATGGCCCCTCTCTGTACACTGTTGCGGTCGTCGGCGGTGCTTCGCCGGCCACGCCACCGGCTGGGTCATGACGCCAAGAAGTGTGTCAGAGAGAGCCAGAGTGGAGGTCGAACTCATCTTTTGACCGTCAACAATCCATCTCGCTTCACCTCCATCCCACTCCACCGCATGACCGCGACGCCGTCGTGAGCGACTCGCCCGCTGGTTCGCCGCGCTCCTTCCTCTCCCCTCCCTCCAACAGCCATGTCGCTCGACCCGTTCGAAGCCCGCCTCCAGTTCCTCAAGCTTGTGCGCACCCTCAACGCCTCCCAGCAGAGCATTCAAAAAGTCGTGACCTTTGCGGTCAAGTACGGTGCCAAGTGCGGCGAAGACCTGTGGGAGTGCGTCGGCGACGAGATAGGCAAGGTGAGTGGACACTTCGGCTGGTCGCCCACCCCACGTGACGCCCCCTCCGCCCCGCTAACCCAGTGCTCGCTCAACGCGCGCATCAACATCCTCTATCTCCTCGACTCGCTGGCAGAGACTTCCGCGGCACTGGGCGCGCCCGACGCGCCGTATCTTCCCCTTATCGAGCGGGCGCTCCCGGACCTCGTTTCCGCCGTGGTCCCGAGCACGCGCGACGGGCTGTTGAACGCGCGCTCCGCCCGCTTGATCCTCGAGTCGTGGCGTGCGCGCCGCGTCCTTGACCCCAGCGCGGTGGATGCGGCGCTCAAGATCCTCGCGGAGCGCACGGCGGCCGCGCACGCCGACGAGCGGCACGAAGACAAGAAGATGGCGCGCACAGACGTCCTCCGCCGCATCGAGGAGGACCGGGAGCGGCAGAAGCGCCTGCGCGAGCGTATGTGGATCCTCCCCATCCCGCCGCTACGGGCGGCGCTGCCGAGCCCCGCGAGCCCGAGCCCGTTTGCACTTACGCCCGCGTCGCCCCGCCCACTGGAAAGAGTGGCCAAGCGGAAACGCGCGGACGACATGCCCCCGCCGCGCGCGCCCGGTGGACTGCCCCTCGACGTTGAGTTCGAGCAGATGTGGGAGGGGACGAGCGATCTCGACGAGGACGAGTTGGAGAGGATGCACGAGTGAGTTTGGACGGCCTGCAGTTTCGCTGACAGCAGGTACGCACGCGCGGCAGGCCTCGAAGTTCCACAATAGCACTGTATCACTATGCACATCTATGATTCTACTTGGGCGTGATGAGGCGCGCGATGCCCGCGCACAGGTCCGCGCGCGCCTCCGCGACCTTGGCACTAATGTCCTTGCTGAGGTCCTCCACCAGTCCCCCACTGGCCCACGCAACCTCCTTGCGCATGACGGCGTTGACTTCCGCAAGGCGCTTGGGCAGCGCTTCGCGCGTTGTACGCAGCCCCACCCCGAGCTGTACTAACCCTGCGGGGCGCTTCTTGCCCTTCTTCGCAGGCCCAGCGAGCTCCGTCACGCGCTTCTCGACCGCACGCGCGGCGCCGGCAAGGCGGGCTAGCGAGGTGTATGCGTCGACCCTCGCCCAGGTCGTGGGCGCCGACCGGACCGCCGCGATGGATGCGTCGTACAGCTCAGCCACAGGCGATGCGGTGACAGGCGCGGGCGGCGTTGTCGGAGACACGGAGGTCGGCGCGGCCGTCGCGGCCGTCGCGGCGGCCAGAAGCGTCTCGATGCCGTCGACGAACGCCTTGTCGGTCGCTGACAACCCCGAGCGGTCGGGGAGGGCGGGCGCATCAGGTCTACCGGAGAGGTATGCCGCGACGCCGAGCAGCGCAGCCGCCAGCACGCGCACCGCCTCCTCACTCATCGTGGGTTGGGGCGCTGACCCGCCGACGAAGCCGTCGGCCATAAGTTCAAAGTTGCGGTTGTCGACAAACGGCGCTGCGGTGAGCTAAGGCCACATGATAAAACTCACTGTCGTCCTTCAAGGCCGCGGAAAGGCTTTCTACGGTGCTCTCGGACATCGAGCTGCCATTGGCGAGCGCAACCGACAGCTCCTCGACCTCGAGGACGCGCTGTGCGACGCTGCGTTCCAGAGCACGAATCAGCGCCCGCATCCCGTGGACCTTGGAGTACGTCTCGTTCTGCAATGCCTGCTTGATGTAGTTTGGCAGCTGGCGTCAGCGGTGCCCGCAAGGCAAACTCACATCAGTGACGGCGCGGCCGTACATGTCCGTCGCGCGGCCCTCGAGTTCGGTCCACAGCGCGATGCCCGCTGCGTCCGCCTCGATCCCGCCCCGCTCAGACACAATGTGCAGCAGGTTGTCGAGCTGGATCTCAGAGAGACTCATCTTCTTCAGGTGCTGGGCGTACAGCCCCGGGGCGCCAAGCAGCCGATAGACGCGGCACAGCGTAAAGCGGGCATAGTATGACGACGGGGAGGCGGCCACCATCGACTCGAGACACTCAGCGGCGTATTGCAGCGGCGCCTCGTCTGCGATTAGCCAGAGCATCGCTGATCTCACCTTCGGGGTTCGTCTGCCAGAGGCGTCCCAACATCGAGACCGCAGTCATGCCGACGGGGTCGGCGGGCTGCGGATCCATGCTGGTCAGGTTCTTGCCGTACGCCAGACCCGCGGAGTAGAGCTCCCAGAGGCGACGAGCCTCGTCCACGCTCGGCGTGGGCGGGTCGACAGAGAGGAGGTAGAGCTCCGCCACGGCGCGCGACACGAAGCTGCCCACGTCGGTGTGCGGGCACCCCGCCGCCTCCTTCATCACCTTCTTGAGCGTGTCGCCGTGTGTCCCCACGATGCCGGCGAGGTCGGACTGCGCCGTCCACTTCCCGCCCCAACGTGCGAGGTATTCGTGTACCGTCGCCTCCCACTCCTCCTCTGAGAGAGAAGGTGCGCGCATGTCGAGCTCGAGCAGGGCGAGGAGGGGCGCGCGCTCCTTCGCCCCGATCTTGGGCACGAGGTCACGGAACAGCGCCACCGCCTTCTCCCGGCGCTCGGCATCCCGCGCCGCTTCCATGAGGTGACGGTAGAATGCGTAGTTGTGCTGCGCCTCGCCATCGTTACGCAGTAGCTCGGCGGTCGCCTCGTACTCGTCCGCCCACACCTGGTCGGCCGGGGCAGCGGGGTCATCGCGCGCGGCGAGCTCGCGCGCAGCCTGCATCCCGAACCAGCGGCGGGAGAGCGCACCCTTCCGCTCCGCCTTGACGAGGCGCCACGCCTCGGCGTGGTCCCCCGCGCCTAAGGCGACCTGGAGACGCAGCCACAGTGTCTCGGATGTCGGCACTTCGCTGCCTGTAGTGCGAATGAGGAGTTGAGCGGGCAGGAGCACCTTCTCCGCTGCGCGGGGGAAGGGCGTGGCGTCGGTGGGGCTAGGAGTCGCGTCCGCCCACGCGGCGTAAGCGGCCAGGCGCGCCCGCGCAGGCATCTTCTGCAAGTTGAACGTCTTGCGGGACGTGCTAGCCATCAAGTCGGTTTTGCCCATCGCCGCGGCTTCGAAGAACACCTGGTCTCCCAGGTCCGGGACGCTGGGACGCTGCTCCCACAGCGCCTGGAACATGTCGAGCACCATTTCGGCTGCGGTCAGCGGGGACGCGGGCGGACGTACGGCACCGGATGCTCCGGAGGACGGCGGCGACGCGCCAAATAGAGCGCGGTGAGAGGGGTGCAGTCGCTTGCACGTCCTCGTAGACCTTTAGGACCGCGGCGCGGCCCTGCCCGGTGAGGTCGGCGAGCATCATGCGCGCGACCTGGCGTCAGTGAAGACGAGGAGAGGCGAGCCGGCGTGCGTATGCTCTGAGCACGCTTCAAGCCCCGGCCGCCGATCTCGCCTGGAGCCACTCACCAGCGCCGTCTGCGACTTTGGGTGTTTCTTGAGCCAGCGGTCCACGGCCGCCTGGGCTGTCTTCAGGCGTCCCTCATGGATGTCGTCTGGTGAGTCAGTAACCGGTGCCCACCGGCATAAAAACACGCACCAAAGACAGGCTGGAGCTTGCGCTCCTCGGCCGCCCAGTCCACTGGGCGGGTCATGGTGAGTAATGGAATATGTACGAAACGAAAGCAAGTTGGCCGGACGAAGCGAACATCAGTTGGGCACCTGAGCGGCTCTGCCCACGCATCGCGCAAGCTAATCTCTAACATGACCGGTATCTGGTGAGGCCACGCCGCTACATCTGCCAGGTCCGCATGCAATGCATGGGGAACGCTTCGAGGCCGAAGCTTGCGCTGGGCTCAAGTTGTCGCCAGCTGCCCCACGCCGCGCTCGGCCCGAGACTGCCTCCGCGCCGGTGTTCGGAAACCGACCGGATGTACGTTCGGTGGAGGTTGTCCACCACCCTGCCTGACGACATCTTGCTCTTCCTCGTCCTCAGATACACATTGCATTACTGCTATAGCTACATTACTACTCGTCTGTGTCTGCATCCACGTCCATCCGCGTAAACTCGAACTCGAAAAATGAGCTCGCGTCGCTTGGCCGCGAGCGATGCGACGCGCCCGTGCCGAAGGTATGCACGCTCGCATTAGAGTGGAAGAGAGGCAGGATCTCGCGCTCGGCGCAGTACTCGTCGTCGCGGGGCCCGTGGGGGGGCAGGCGGGCTTCGGGCGCAATAGGTACGGGCGCGGGGGCCGCGATCTGCGTGCTCCCCGGCCGCCGCCGGGGAGGGGGGAGGGTGTGTGGAGCGCGCGCCGGGCGGAAGTTGCGCGAGATCACGTCGTTCAGCCCCGGCGCGTAGAGCGTGTGCGGGGGGGCGATGGGGACGCCGAGGTCGAGGTCTGGCGAGAGGTGGGACGGCTCGAACTCGGTGGGGAGAGGGGGGACGGGGGGCGCCCACTCCTTCTCCCGCAACAGGCGGTCGCGTTGTTCGCGTGTGCGGCTCTTTCGCCGCGCCCCCAGATGGTGCAGTAGTCGCCGCGGCTTGAGGGGGTCGTTGGCGACGGCAATAACGGCTGCCCGCGCGGAGCGGGAGGTGAGTTCGGGGTGGGCCGAGTTCGGCGGGGTGGTGGGGTGGCCGAACTGCGTGGTTTCGGAGAGCTCCGAAAGTGATTCGAACGACAGGTCGGGCGTGGTAGGCTGTTTCGGGGGGGCGGGGGAGGTGAGCCATTTGCTCGGAGACGCGGGGTGAGAGGGTGCTGGGCTAATGCTGATGGGTACTGAGACGGCGGGGGCACGACGGCCGCGGCGGGGAGTGGAGAAGGACAGGACTTCGTCGTCGGACGAGTCCGAGCCTGAGTTTAGTGGAGAGGAGCCGCCGTCGAGAGAGATGGAGTCGAGACGGACGCCGAGAATTGCCTCCGCCTTGGACAGCGGGCGGTTGCACGGCATCATTGGGGAGGCGTGAGGCGATGCCACGGGTGCGTGCAGCATGTCGCCAGGCTGGGTGTCGATGGAGAGGTGGGGGTGTTTGCTCCTCCGCCGCAGAGGCGATGTGAGGTTAAAACTGGGGAAGTGCTGGCCGTTGAAGCCGAAACTCGGGAAGCTGGGAGACGCCGGCGACGTCGGCGATGTAGGCGACTTTGACACTTTGGGCGAGTGGAGAAGGGCGAGCGACCGCCGTCTGAGACTTGCTGAAGCGCTGAGCGACGACGTTCGTTGCGTGGGGGTTATTGGCACTGAGAACTCTGTCTGCGATGTTATGACCTCGTGCTTTGTTGGGGTGACCTCGCGCTCAGCCGACCGCGTCATAAAAGTTGCATCCCGGTCATCGGACCCGGCGAGGGAGGTCAACGAAGTGAGGGAGGTGAGGGAGGGTCGCGGAAATGAGCCGGAGGCTTTGTTCGCGATAGGGCTTGTGGCGGTGGCGGCAGGGGGTGTTGACGTTTTCGTTTTCGTTTTCGTCTGCGCCAGTTGACCGAGCTGGCCGGCCGGCACGGCCGCGCCCACGCCCGCGCGGCTTTTCGCGCGCCACGTCGCTTTCGCCTTGGGTAGGGAGCGCGACAAAGACGCGCCGTGCCCATTGTTGACTGGGATGGGCATGGGTGAGGCAGGACGCGACGACCCCTCATGTTTGGAAGTCGGGGGCGAGTGCGTGGACAAGAGTGGCGAAGTCGTTCCCCGCCCTCCTATGGACAGGGCGGGAGGAATGTGGCCCGCGCCCATGAGCATGTCGGGTATGGGGCCGCTAGCGTTAGCGCGGGGGATAGCGTCCAACTCCGTGACCCCGGACGGGCGGAGAAACTCACCGGCTGCGCTTCAGCCGCTGCATAAAGCCCGGGAGCTTGAGGCTCTTTGACCGGGGTCCCGCGCTGGTCGGGGTTGGCAGCATCGGCAGCGCAGGCATGGCTGGCACGGCCGGTACAGCAGGGGTGGTTGGGCGAGAGGCGGGGCGCGAGGCTGCGAATGACCATGTCGAGCTGTTTGCTGATGCGACGGTGCCGATCGCGGGCGTGCATGGGCGCTTGGAGCGGAGGGAGAGCGAGGATTTGGAGCGGAGCGAGGCGGCGAAGCGTCGCACTGACTCGGAACGGCGCGGCGCCGGCGTCTTGGCCTGCCGGGATTCTCGCTCTCTATCGCTGTCGCTCCATGCGCTCGGCGGCTCTCTCCTCATGCCCCTCTCCGGCCTCAGGGAGACCGTCGCGACTTTGAGATTCTGCATCAGGTCTTCGAGGGCACGCTCGACGCCCTGTGGCCCCCGTGTCTTGTATGTCCGCGGAGACGCAGTCGGTGTGTTGTTCACGGAGCACTTTCTCCGCCTCGGCGTACCATGCTGAGTGGCAGCGGGGGTGCGGTGCACCGGCGCAAGGACGCGCGGCTCGCGATACCGCTTGATCGTGGGCGACTCATCGGGCGCGGGTTCGGAGGAGAAGACGTCGGGGAAAGCGCACTGCGGTCAGCATCGCGGAGGCCTCGATTTCAACACCTACCGGCAAGCCGTGCCCTTCGAGGCGTCTCATGGCCGCGGCGTTGAACATTCTTGTCGCCATTGCACTGGGTTGTGGTGGTCTTGCTGGTTTCGGAACGCTGATGTTATCTGGCATTGCGGAAGTGAAGCGCAGAGTAGGCTGGGAGATGGGGGGTGCATGAGCCTGCGTACGCCAGTGCCGCATTATGTTGTGGCCGTCTTGCGGCTGGATCGTCTGTGCGGTGCCAGCAGCACGCTATGAGCTGCGAGTCACAAGGTGTGGTTCTGGCGTGGAGGCTGCCGCCTTATCGCACGCCGTGGCTTGCGATTAGGGAGGGTCGAGCAGAGAGGCACGGCACGAGCGGGGGCGGGTGAGGCGCGAAAGTTGAGCGAGAGAGCACGAGAGAGGCGTGGTGGGTGGTGGCTGCGCTCGCCTGAGGTCAGGAAAGGACAATGGCGGGGGTCAGTGGGCGAGGAGACAATAAATGGAGGAGGGAGAGGTGTGGGGAGAGGCTTGGGCGGCGGCATGGATGTTATTGATGGCATGTTTTGCGTCGAGCGTTGAGGGAGATCACGAAGATGAGTAGTCATGCGTCAGATCGGCAGACATGAGAGATCAGCGCTCATGTGAGGAAAAAGGATAATAACAGCATTGCGTGCAGGGAAACAGGAGGGTTGTCGGTTGTGGCGGAGGCGTTCACATGACGCTCCAGAACTCGAGTAGTGCACTGTGGGAATGCCTACCTCATGCTGCAGCATGCTCAGCTGGCTCAGGAGGGATCATGCTTCGCGCCTTCTCGCTACCACTTGGCGCGCTCGGACCGCGAGCGCAGGATGCTCGGCGCGAAGTCAACGGCGTGCGGTGAAAGCGACACACATGTACACATGAGTGTTGCGCGGAGACGGGTTAACCAACACACGACGGCAACGCCAAGGGGCACCGAAGCCTCGTATCCAGCAGGAGCTCAAACTCGAGTCCGCAGGCTTGCCCACCTCTTTTGGGCGCTCTCAGTGCCTCATGCGCCCCGACGGTCACCAGTGCGGGAATGCCAACTGTGCCGTTAGTCAATATCAGTCGCACGTGCAGCTCCCTTCAATCGAATCTCTCATCTAGTGCAATGCTACATGCATCGTTGTGCTTCCGACTGCTCTCTCCGTTTAGTTGTCGGACCAGGTGGGCTTGCGCTTCTCGGCGAAAGCGGCCATGCCCTCCTTCTGGTCGGCAGTGGCGAAGCAGGCCTGGAAGATGCGGCGCTCGAAGCGGAGGCCCTGCTCGAGAGGGAGCTCCTGCGAGGCGTTGACAGTCTCCTTGACGGCCTGGGCGGCGACAAGGCCGAACGAGGCGATCTTGTCGGCGATCTTGACGGCCTCGGCGGTGACCGACTGGTCGGCGGGGACGACACGCGAAACGAGGCCCCACTCGCCGGCCTCCTTGCCCGAGATGAAGCGGTTCGAGAGGCAGACGTCCATTGAGCGGTTCTTGCCGATGAGACGGGTGAGGCGCTGGGTGCCACCACCGCCGGGGATGATGCCGAGAGTGATCTCGGGCTGGCCGAAAGTGGCCTTCTCCGAGCAGATAAGGATGTCGGCCATCATCGAGAGCTCACAGCCACCGCCAAGCTGTCACATTAGCACCACTCAGTCTGGATGCAAGTTTGCAAGTTTCCCGCATATTACTCACGGCGTAGCCGGCAACGGCGCCGACAATGGGCTTGCGGATGGAAGCAACCTTGCCCCAGGTGCCGAGGAAGTTGTTCTTGTAAGCGTCCGAGAACTGCTTGTCCTTCATCTCCTTGATGTCGGCGCCGGCAGCGAAGACCTTGTCACCGCCGGTGAGGACGATGGCGCGGACCTCGGGGTCGTTGTCGGCCTTCTCCATCTCAGCGTTGAGGGTGTCGAAGAGGGGCGACGAGAGGGCGTTGAGAGCCTTGGGGCGGTTGAGCTGGAGGATAGCAACCTTGCCGGACTCGGAGCGCGAGGCGAGGACGAGGGGCTCGGCCTGGGTGGACATGGCGCGCACATACTGGCGCATGGTCGAGCGGGCGACGGTAGCGGGGCGGAGAGCGGTGAACATGGTTGCTGTTTTTTTTGGTGGTGGAGTGGAGAGCGATGAACAAGTCGTGGGTGATGGGCGTGGGGTTAGCTTTATAGGATGTGCGAAGGTCCGCGCCGTGGGTGTCTGGAGGTGCTCGAGGTGATTGGTATTGGGGGTGGGATGTAATCTCACTTCGGTTCGCCTAAAACGCGTAATGCCGGAGAATGCTGGCCTGGGGGGGAACGGCGCTCGGATCATACTCTCACCGACAGCCGATCCCTCCTGCCGACCTCACCGGTACCTTCTTACTAAGTAGGGGGGCCAATTAGTCCCATGCTATCTCGCACACGTGGAACATCCATTGCACGTGGCTTCCTCTCCCGTCGGAGTTATCCTTATATCTCCCGAGTGGCAGGATTGGATTTCGACTCGCCTCCACCATCGCAAGGTTGGTGCTCGCTGGCCGCCATTCCAAGGACAACTGCTTTGTCTGACTACACCCAAAATACACTCGACTTCTCCCAGTCTGCTCTCGTCAACAAAACTCGGACTCCGAAAGCTCTAGCAACAGAGCTCATCTCCGACCCTCCCCCGCGCGCATCCCGAGTCCCACCCCCGACTCGCTTACAGCCTTTCCGCGCACCTTCCTTCCCTTCCCATCTTCCCCCCCCCCCCACTCCGACAATCACCATGCCCCGCTTCTATGAGAACAAGTACCCCGAGGTACGCTATGAGGCGCGCGCGCAGCTAACACATCAGGTGGACCAGCTCGTCATGGTCCAGGTCCAGTCCATCGAGGACATGGGTGCCTACGTCAAGCTCGTGCGTTATATGTCCCGCATGGCGCGTGCGCAGACTGACCTTGCAGCTCGAGTACGACGGCATCGAGGGAATGGTTTTGCTCTCTGAGCTGTCGCGTCGGCGAATTCGTTCCGTGCAGAAGCACATCCGTGTCGGCCGTAACGAGGTCGTCGTTGTCATGCGTGTGGACCCCGACAAGGGTGGGTTTTGCTCATGGGTGGCAAACATCTGACTGACGCGCAGGCTACATTGACCTGTCCAAGCGCCGAGTGTCTGCCGAGGAGGTTGTCAAGTGCGAGGAGCAGTACGAGAAGGGCAAGGCGGTCGATTCGATCCTCACGCAGGTCGCCAAGCGCCGCGGTGTGACTCCTGAGTCGTTGTACGAGAAGATTGCCTGGCCTCTGCACCGCAAGTACGGCCACTCGTACGAGGCGTTCAAACTCTCGATCCAGGAGCCCGACGCCGTCTTTGGCGGCCTCGACATTGACGAGGAGACGTTGGCCGAGCTCAAGCACAACATTGCCCGTCGCCTGACCCCCAAGCCTGTCAAGGTGCGCGCCGACATTGAGGTCAAGTGCTTTGCGTACAGCGGTATCGAGGCTATTCGCAAGGCGCTCCGCGCTGGTGAGGCGTGCTCTACCGAGGAGGTACCAATCAAGGTCCGCCTTGTCGCGCCGCCACTGTACGTCATGTCGACGACAAGCACGGACAAGACCGCCGCCATCGAGATCATGGAGAAGGCCGTCGAGGCGATCGGGAACACTATCGCCGAGGAGAAGGGTGACATCACCATCAAGATGGCACCCAAGGTCGTCTCGGAGACTGAGGATGCCGAGCTCAAAGCTCTCATGGAACAGTTCGAGCAGGCGAACATGGACGTTGCGGGGGACGACGACGAGGACTCGGAGGACGACGAGTAGAGGACTACTGGCAGCGACGGCACGAGCATTTGCATGGGTATCTGACATATGCATTGGTGCTCCATGTCGGGTGCCAGGATGTAATAGAATGATACATGTTTTGTGTGGCATATTTGGGGGTGCGGAGAAAGTCACTGCGCGACCATGACCCACCATGTAAACGGCTCTCCGCCCATCTCCCACTCATCGTATCCGGCGACCTCGAACCCGAGGCGCGAGTAGTAGGCGACCTATCGTCAGCACTGTCTAGGCTGTGGCACGCACATTCTCAGCACTGTTAGTGCTGAGGCGCAAACACGCGCCGTCAGCTCTCGCCCGCTCAAGAGCATAGCGAATCAGCGCCGCTCCGAACCCCTTCCGCCGGTGTTCCGGGACAGTCCCCAACCACGAGACATGATACCCGTCCCCCGCGGCCGTCTTGAGTGCCTCACTGCGCCTGCGGAGCTGGCGTCAGCCTCCCGTCCTTCCTTCGACGCACCTCATCATGCCGCTCCTTCGCGGACGCAGGCATACGCTCCATCTCGGCGTCGTACGGACTCGGCCCATCGGGTCTGTATCAGTTCAGCGATCAGCGAGACGCACGGAGCATTGGGATGTTTGAGGATCATGACTGCTGCGACTTCCTCCCCCTCTTCCTCCTCCTCCCCCTCCTCCTTGCTCCCCTCCTCAATCTTCCCCGCCCCCCCACCCAACCCAACCCTCACAGCCCACACCTCATGCCCCGGATTCCGGAGCGCGCGAAACACCTTCTGCGCAATCCCGAGCCGATGCCACCGCTCCACCTCGCCCGCGCTCAAGCCCGCGAACTGCACGCGCACAGGATAGAACTCGCGCGCATCGAATGAACGCGCGTAGCTGTCCACAAGCGCGGCGAGCGTGCGTTCGGACGTATTAGTGATGTGTGTGAGCATGTTAGTGCTGTAAATGTGAGACACGGGATACAGGATGAACGCAGTGTGGACAGGGGTGAGTGGATAATGAAGTGGAGCAATAGTGGAGTGGGACGAGGATCAAGCAGCAACTCTCAGGGCGTGTAGCTCAGTTGGTAGAGCGTTCCATTCGCATAAGTGATTTGGAAAGGTCTTTGGTTCGATTCCTAACTCGTCCAGAGTTGATATTTTTGTCGTGACTGACTTTGCTTTGTCCGCACGGAATTCCTACCCTACGATTCTTGATTGCCTGCAGGAGACAACATCTCCTAGGGCGAGGAGATACTCGATTGATAACTATCATGCGCAATTGCTCGTTGGCGGCCGGCAGCGGCGGATGGATGCAGGCCGGAGGGATGCGGATGTGAAAGTGTATCGCCGCTCTACACGGCTCGAGGCTCTCGCTGGAAGGAAGCCATACGCCAGATCCGGATGCTGGCGGGTTCAAGTCGCCACACTGACCGAAGGAACATCCACCACGCACACGCACACCATCGCAACAGCACACGCACACCCTCGCACCACCACAGCAATACGCCTGCACACAAAATATTTGTAGCTGCAGACTGTATACCAGGCCTGGTATTTTTGTGTTGTTACAGTATTACAACCAAATCGTCATACAACAGGAGATGGGCCCTCATGAGACGGGGGTGTAGATATATCTTGGCCGCCAGCACCCCGCTGGCGGCGACAGCTTGGTGGTCGCGACAAGATGAAGAGTACACTAATGTGGGCGAAGGGCGTCCGGCGTTTCCATGTCGCCGATATGTGGTGCAGCTTGACTCGAGCTGACGGGACCGGCCTGGCCTGGACTGGACCGCAGCCGCGGCTGTTGATGGCGACCGCGGGGTAAGAGATGGCGAGAATGAATTGAGATGAGTGGACTGCCGCCACCGAGGATTCAGTGGAATAGATAGGCGGGAGTATATTTTGGCTCCGGATGATCGCGGTGATCTGGTTCCGTAGATCGGTGGTCAGAACAGTCCAGTTGATCCGATATCCTTCACGACACACCCCTCTGCCTCATTTGCGGGGGTGCCCGAGCCGACGCGCCGACGCGTAGGTGATCGCATCAAAGTAGGCGGAGTGGGAGGAGCGAGGGGGAGAAGGAGGAGATAAAGGGGCGGTGTCGCGACGGCGAGCAACAAAGCGTCAGTGGCTGAGGCACCGCCATGTACGAGCTGCGAGCTGCGGTGGCGGGCTTGGTGTATGGCATGGATGCATGGAGTGGATCTCAGTCTCATGCTGCCCTAGACATTGCGATCTTGCGAGCGCGAGGCGGCCTGCAATCCTGCGAGCTGCGCAGTGCCCGAAGGTCATGGGTCATGACCATGATCCATGAGCGACGTCATGATGGCCAAGTCAAGTCACCGAACTGCGGCTGCGCCTGGCGCGGCGCCTGGAAGCTGGAAATGATGCGTCAGCGACGGGCGACTTGCTTGGCTGTATGAAAGATTATGCATGTTGGATTACTCGGCTGCGCAATTTCGCACAGCTCAACGTCTAGTTGTGGAACCGAGTGCTTGGACGCACATCGACGCATGGTGCGTGGTGACAGCGACTGAGAAGACCTGGACGCGACGCTGGAACCGAAGAGGAGGAGGGGCGAGGCACCGCTCGATGCTGTCCCACGGCTCCGGGTCTGGCGCCTGGCGACGCACCGCTCGGAGATGCGACGATCTGAACGTCTACGCTGTATGCACCGGGGTGCGGCTGCCTGCCTGAAGAGAGCGTGGAGCGGCGCGCGGCGCATGACGGTACCCGCGGGGAGCGGTGGCGACAAGAACTGGCGCACCGAAATTTGGATGCCAAGCATTTGGGGGTCGCAAAACGGGCAGCTTCGACTGTGCAGGGTGAATGAGGCGGTGTACCCAACGCCCCTCTCCGCCGCCCACTCTAAGCAACACCATCATTCCTCTTCTCGTCTTCATCTCTTCATCATCTCGCGCTCTTCTTGTCTCGTCGCTTCATTCTTCCCGTCTCCGCATTTCTCGACATCGCTTCAGAGTAGTTTGACGACCGGCGAACCCCACACGCAGCGAGCAGCAACGAAACCTTGACAACCCGCACCTACGCACATCGGGCCAGGGGCTGAACCGCCTCCACCTGTCTTTGGCACCTCGACTGCGACTGCATCTACCAAGACCTTGTCATCATCTTCCATCTTCTTTCTCCATCTCCATCCACCAACCATGGCGGGTCCATCCGCCCTGCGTCCGCTCATAGCGGCGCTCACTTTCCTCCTCGCCATCCTCCTCCTCGCCGGCAGCGCAACCGGTAAGCAGCACAATCTCGAAACCCTTCTCCACCCACCCTTCCCCCAGTGCCCTAACGCCAGCCCGCTCGGCCCACCCACCACCAGTGAGGCGCGTCCACCACCCGTCTCGCTCGACAGTCCGCATCGTACCGCGTGGCAGCATATCGCGCCGCTCCATCTCGCCTGCCCCACATAACTTGAGGCATGACGATTCGCTGCTCCTCACCGCCAGTGTCCCTAGCATGGCGCCGTACGAGGTTGCGCTTCTCCTCCGGCCAACAGAACACCTCTTCCACCCCGACGCCAAGGTGACCTTCCAGCACGCTGACGGGAGCTCCACCTCCGAGCCCCTGCGTGCGGAGGATTGGCGCCTGTACCAGGGCGAGGTTGTGCGCCCATCATGGATCGAGCGCGTGTGGGCCGAGGAGGTGTCCGGCGTACAGCATTCCCCGGACGCCTTCCTCGGGCGAGCAAGCGTTATGGTGCACGAGGCTGGTGAGAACACGCGCTGGGAGGGCACTTTCACAATCGACGGGACGAATTACCACGTCATGACGAGCGAGCGATATGAACGCACCCGAACATTGGACGACGCCGACGTCGCCACCTTCGGCAATGACCTCGTCATTTTCAGCGATACCGACATGGGGTACGAGGACGGGCAGAAGCACTCGAACGGCACCGGGTGCATGCACGACCGTCTCAGCTACAACACCGACCCTTCGCACCCGGTCCTCCGGCGGCGCGACGCCAACATGTTGCTCGAGGGCCGTGGCTCGCGTGATGACATGGGTGGCATGACTCCCAAGACCAATTACATCGATTCTATCGGGTCAGACCAGGGCTGTCCCTCCTCCCAACAGATTGTGTACATGGGTGTTGCTGTCGACTGCAACTATGTGTCTGCCTATGGAGGAAACAAGGATACCGCACGGATGCAGGTTCTCAACAATTGGAACGCGATCACGGCCCTGTACCGCTCCACGTTCCGGGTCTCGCTCGGCATCATCGAGCTCACTGTCGAGGAGGCGCAGTGCCCCAGCACCCCACCTGCAGACAAGCAGTGGAACCAGAACTGCACCCAGAGCGTCACTCTCGACAACCGGCTGAGCATGTTCTCCCAATGGCGCGGCAGCAAGGGCGATGACGGTGCCGGTCTTTGGCACCTCATGACGGCGTGCTCGACCGACACCGAGGTCGGTGTCGCATGGCTGGGCACGCTCTGCCAGACCACTGCCAACGAGCAGGACGGCAACGAGTTTGTCTCGGGCACCGGTGTGTCGAGCGCCTCCAAGACCGAGTGGAACCTTATCGCCCATGAGATCGGACACAACTTTGGCGCCATCCACGACTGCACTGATGGGTGCACGCTGCAGAGCGCGTGCTGCCCTTACTCGAAGGACACTTGTGCGGCCGGCGGCGGCTTCATCATGAATCCCACGACGGCGGAGAAGGAAACGACATTCTCCCAATGCACGCTGGGCAACGTGTGCACCTTCCTCGGCACCGGCTCCAAGAACTGCGTTGTCACTCCCGACCCGTCCCGTACGACCATCAGCCTCAAGCAGTGCGGCAACGGCATTGTCGAGCAGGGCGAAGAGTGTGACCCGGGAATGAACGCCACGAGCTCGTGCTGTGACCCCAACACCTGCAAGTTTATCAATGGCGCCGTGTGCGATCCCACCAACTCTGCCTGCTGCACTGATCAGTGCACGTTCAAGTCGGCAGGAACGGTGTGCCGGCCCTCGATCAACCCTATCTGCGACACGGAGGAGGTCTGCCCCGGCAACTCTGGCGACTGCCCGAAGGATGTGACGGCCAAGGACGGCACCAACTGCGGCAACGGTCTGAAGTGTGCGAGCGGCCGCTGCACCTCGCTCGACGAGCAGTGCCGCAAGGCTGGCGCGTCGCTCAACCTGACGCAGGCGTGTGACGCGCGCGACGACCAGTCGTGCTTTGTCACCTGCAAAGACCCCAACGTCGCGAACCAGTGCACGATTCTGCAGACGGTCCTCATCGACGGCTCGCCCTGCGGTTACGGCGGCAACTGCTATAACGGCACCTGCAACCCCGGTTCGTGGCAGGACCGCTTGAGCGCAATGTACACGCAGAACCTGCAGATTGCGATCCCAGTCACAATCGCGGTGGCCATTGTCGTGGGCATGATCATCTACTCGATCGCGCGGTGCTGCTGCTCGGCGTGCGCGCGCGGCGGCGGCAAGCGCAAGTCTTCGAAGAAGCAGACGACATGGAACGCCAACAACGGCGTGGCGATGGCGCCCTACCCACAGCCGGGGTATGCGGGGGCGAATGCGCGCGGCCCGGGGCCCGGCGGCAGCCCGACGAACGGGTATCCCGCGCAGCCGCTGTTGAACGGGCACAGGCGCGACATCTCGGGCTCGTACTCTGACGAGTTGGGGCCGGGGCAGCAGGTTCGCCCGGCGTACTCTGATCCGTATGCGCCCAACTATGGCGCGCCGCGCGCCGACTGGGTCGACGAGACGCGGTACAACGGCCGCGATATCCGCGATGCCGACTACGAGCAGGGCCACGAGTACCGGTACGACGCGGGCGTGCCGCGCACCGAGTACGACCCGCGCGACAACCGCGGGTACTCGCGCCAGTAGATGTGTATTTCATAGATGTCAGTGTACGATATCACGGGGACGGTACACTATGAGCGATATGAACACTTGGTCGTCATGTTGCATGCAAGTACTAGGACACTACTGTGACAAATCGCTACTTACAGATCAATGCGGCCACGACTGCGGCGCGCGCGCCATCTCGAACTCGAAGCTCGCGCCGTCGGCAATCTGCGCATGCGTAATATGGATACTGTCGTGCTCGCGGCCGTCGACGCGCAGGCCGCGGACGTAGCGCTTGTGCCGCGCGCCCGGCGCGACAACCGTGATGGCGCGCGCGCCGTCCGTGCCCGACGCCGGCAGGCGCAGCTGGATGCGGTCGAAGAACGGCGTGCCGAGGACGTAGGTCGCGGACGCCGGGTCGACGGGGTAGAACCCCAGCGCCGAGAAGAGGTACCATGCGCTCATTTGTCCGCAGTCTTCGTTGCCGCTCAAGCCCGTCGCCGTGTGGTTGTACTCGTTCTCGCCCACCTCGCGGATCCACTTCTGCGACTTGTGCGCGGCGCCGGGCGCGAAGGAGTAGAGGTAGGGCTGGGTTAGTGGTGTCATGGTGGCCCTGTGTCCTCTCGCTGATCCGCCCTCCCACATTCATCTCTCCACTCCCTCCCCCCCCCTCGGCACCTCGACTCCTGTCCACCCCGCCCCCCCGGCCCGCCTTCCACGCTCTTGTTTTCGCTCGCTTGCCCGCCCGCCTGCTCGCGCACTCACAATATGATGACTCGGCTCGTTCGTGTGCAGATTATGCCCGCCCTCGAAATGCCTGTCGATAAAGTCCACAAACTTGGCGTTGCCGCCCATGAGCTCGATAAGCCCCGGCACATCGTGCTGCATCAGCCTCGCGCGACACCCGCACTCACCAACACCGTCAGCGAATACGCCCAATGGTCGCCCTCGGTCCACCCCGCCCAGCTGCCGGCCCAGGACCCGTCCGCGCGCCGCGCCTCCATGAACCCCGTCGCGTTGTTCCAAATACTCCTGTAATTCTGCGCGCGTTTCCGCAACGCCTTGGCATCCTTCGTCGCGCCGACGTGCTCGGCGACGATCGCCGCCGCGTGGTCGTCGTACGCGTAATCGAGCGTGCGCGACCCCGCCTCAGAGTGCAAGTCGTCCGCGACCCACCCGCGCTTCATATATTCCGTGAGGCCTGCACGCACTTCGTGCGGCGTGTGCTCTTCGCGGTCAAAGTAGCGCAGCTTGGTGTCCCGCTCCGGCGGGGTATACGCGTTTTTGCGCACGGCGGCCCACGCAAGCTCCCAGTCGAACGGCACGCCCGCGCTCATCGCCTGTGCGAGCACGCTGTCCGCGTGCGTGCCGACCATGATGTTCGTCTCGACAATGTTCTTCCACATCGGCAGCCACCCGCCCTCGGTGTAGTCCTGCAACATGCTGGTCAGCATGGCGGGCACGCGCTCAGGCACGACGAGGAGCTGCCACGCCGTGGTGGCCCGGAACGTGTCCCAGATCGAGTAGCCCGAGTAGCTCTGGCCCGCCACCACCGCGTCGAGATACCCCGAGTAGTAGTGCCAGTCGGGGGACGCGGGCGTGCCCGCGTTCTCGTGCACCTCGTACGGATACACGAGGGTGCGCGCGAAGCCGGTGTACAGGACGGTGAGGTTGGAGGGCGTTGCGCCCTGCACGCTCAACAGGTCGAGCTTGGCGGCCCACTCGGCGCGCGCACCCACTGACGTCGCCTCGAGGCTCTGCCCATCCGGCACTTCGTGCTCGAGGTTCCGCCGCGCCTGGTCTACGCTGATGAAGCTCACGCCGACGCGCACGTCAACGTCCGGCGTGCCGCGCGGGAACGTCACATATGCAGAAAGCACTTTGCCGTCTCCGATGTGCGCGCGGCGCAGCATGCCGGAATGCGAGATGCCGCCGCTCGCGAAGGGGCGCGAGAACCGCGCGACAAAGTACCCCTTAAACCCCTTGGCGGGCAGCGCGTCGCTCATGAGGATGTGGTCCTGCCGCTCGTCGTTCCACCCGCTGATCTCGCGCCGCTCAAAGTCCACCTCGGCGTGTCCGACCGGCAGCGACACATTGCGCGGGTTGCTCGTGACCGCGCTGACCCGCGACGCGTCGAGCACGACGAACGGCGCTGCCGTGCCGTTCGGGCGGAACGTGAAGCGCATATGGCCGACGCGAGAGGCTACGTCAGCAGGCCCGAAGGACGCACTCACTCGCCGCGAGCTCGGCCTCGATCAGGCCGTGCTTGCCCCGCAACACGTTCGAGTAGTAGTTCTGGGACGCATACTCGTCCTTCCTGCGGAACTTGAGGCCGCGCCTCTGGAAATCCGTCACGACGTCGCCGAGCCCCACGCCGACCTGCACGGGCCCCGACTCGCCCATCCACACCGCGGGCTGGTGCGTCCCAATGAACCCGTGCACGACCTTGTCCGTCTGGTTGTACGGGCACATCGACACGTCTGGGTCAGCCTGTCCCCGCCAAACCCACAATTGAGGCGCGTCTGCGCCGTCCACCGCGTCATCCCGAACGGCGTCCCCACGTTCGGGATCATGCCGCCGCTGAGATCCGGCTCCGGCCTGCCGTCAGCGCCTGACGCGCCTCACGTCGCATGCGCACGCACCCCCCGTTCCCGAGATTGACGTTGACATGGTACAGCCCCTGCGAGGCCGGGCGCGCGAACGCCGGCGGGCACGTGAGCTTGCGCCCGTCCCCAAAGTCCGCGTGGCCTTGCACCTCGCGCTCGGCGCCCAGCAGCCGCATCAGCCAGTTCAGGATCTCGGCGCCGCCGATCGCCACTTGGTTGCCGGGAAGGAAGGGGGCGAGCGGCGTGCCCTGTAGTGCGAAGTATGATGCGCCGAGCGCCGCGAGGATCAGTATCGCGCCGAGGGGGGAGGGTTTGCGCGGCCGGCCGGCGCGGGCCGCCGCCGCCGCCGCCGGCGCGGGCGGGGGAGGGGGAGGGGAGGGAGGCGGGCTCGGCGTGCTCATGTCTGACGCCGAGGAGTGGGAGGCGCTCCGTTCTGCCATCGCGGAGAAGGATGTTGTGATCGACTCGACCGAGAATGGAGACGCTCGGTCGACCGGGCCGGGATCACGTGATGCATGCGGAGACCCCGGAGACGATCGATGAGGCGGTGCAACCATGTCGGTACAGATCCGCTCGCCAAGCTGCAACAAGCTGCTGTGGCACCGCTCTGCGTGGCGGCGTACACCGGATCAAAGCAGCGAAGTTCGGATATCGGTGCGTGGACTGGCGCGCTGCTGCCTCTGGCTGGCTTTGGCTGGCGTCGGCTGGCTGGCTTATGGCTGCGATGGCTCCATGGCTCGAGACAGGAATGTTCCTGGTGTGGCTGAAAGCGGAAACGTCACGCGTGCGACATATATATCTCGCGCTGCGCGGTCTTGCACCCCACTCCGTCATGTCCCCACCCGTCGAGTCCGCCCTGTCCGCCGAGTTCGTCGAGTGCGTCGAGCCCGTCAAGTCCGTCGAGTGCGTCGAGTCCGCCGAGTGCGTCGAGTGCGTCGAGTCCGCCGAGTCCGTCGAGTCGCACTATCTCGCGCGCGGCGGTTCACCCTCTTCGCCAGCACTCACGCCGCTCCGCGCGCCCCCCGTGGCCGTGGCGCGCGGTGCGCTCGCCTTCGTGCTCCGCCTCCCGCCGTGTGCCGAGTCGCGCTTCGTCCTCGACTGCCTCCCGGACCCCGTGGGCGCCGTATTCCATCTCCTGTGCTATGCGCGCGCGCGCCTCCGCCCCAGCCCGGGGTGGGGGCGGTCCCGCATCATCGTGGAGGTGCGTGAGGGCGCGGCGCGTGCGGCTGACTGGCGCGCCGGGCGGATCGTGGTTGCCCGCGAGTGGGCGCGGGGGCTAATGGGCGACGCGGCGGGCGGGCGCGCACAGCATGACATTGCCGCGGAGATCAAGGGTGTTTGTGAGTGTGCGTGCGGGCGTGCTGATGACGTGTTACATCAGGCGGCGCGGTGTTTGCAATACGACGTGAGTACAGTCGAGGCTTGCTGTGCGTGGCTGATAGTAGGCGAATGGGACCGCACCGGAATGGCTGCTCGATGCCGTGGCGGATGCGGTGCGGATTGGGGGACATTTGGGGGATCCGGCGTGGGTCGTGGGACGGGGAGAGAGGGGGTGGGAGGAGGGAGGAGGTGGCTTGTTCCTCGCGTGGCTTATGGGCGAGGGCGGCGGCGGCGACGGCGACGGTGACGGTGAGCGGTATGCCGGTCGGCTGGAGAAGACGGATACGCCGCCCAGGTATCGCCGAGGGCCATTCCCCGACCTCGTCCAGCTGCTCGACGGCGCCTGCGCCCTGCGGACCTACGACGAGAGCTGGTGGATCGAGTTCTGCGGCGCACCCCTGCCGCAGCTGTGGGCCGAGTTCCTCGACGCATGACGCACCAGCTGCGGTCGCAGTTGTACACATTATACATACCCTGCACAGGATATCACAGCACAGGCAATTGGACCTTGTAGGCCCCTTGTAGATTCTAGACATTGCACCATCGGACTCTTGTTACACTGTGCACCAGCCAGTGATGCGGCACGCGGTGCGCCACAGCGTGTGGCCTACGTGATAGACGAGGAGGAGGGCGAGGAGACTGATGATCGCTGAAGTCAGCAGAGGAGCCGCTGCGTGGCGCAGCGACATACGCGCACTCCGACCTGCGGACTGCGCTTGCACTGCCACTTACTCCAGAACCCAACTGCCCGTTTAAAGTTGTCCGAATCTATTTTGCGCTCCAGTCGTGCCAGCTCGTCCTGGAGATACTCCTCGACCTCGTCTGCCATCTGCTCAAACTTGGCCAGAGCAGCAAGGTCATCCGCCTCGCCCACAGAGTTTCGTATCCGTTCGATTTTACCGATTCCCCTGTTCCGCACTCGCGCCGGGGTGCGTTTCTGCAGACTGACGTCGTCAAAGCCTACCCATGGCGTCGTGCGCTCGTGCATCTCATCCACATTCCGTGTGTGCTCGTCGACCAGGTCTTTCAGTCGCTTCTGATGCGTGGGAATGGCTGTATTCATCGTACTGTACAGGTCGGCTGTCGCTTTCTGCCGTCAGCGGCGGGTTTTGAAGGAATCGCGTACCTCTGCCCGCGCATCGAGTTCGCCTAGACGACCGAGAACAGAGGGAAACTCTGAGAACACACGGTGCTCAAAGGATGACTGGGGTCAGTAGGGGTGAGGGAAGGCGGGGTTGCGTCCAGCGCAGGCAGAGGTCAATTCCACCGCGTGGCATGGCTTAGCAACAGCCCGAACCCACCCTCGATGACCGAAATCGCTGCTCGTGCGCCTTACATAGCGCGGCCAATCGGTCTATCTGATCTTGCAGCGGACTGGGGTCAGCACACGCGCCCCGAAGAATGACGCACTGCCTGATCTCGCCGCGTTGGAGTGGAGTTTGGAGAGGCGCACACGCGCCACCAACCTCCGAGCTCTCCCGGCTGAGTGGGAATTCGGGTGCTGGGGCGGTATTGGGGAGTGGGGGAAGAGGGGAGGGGCTGAGTGGCGGAGGGGAGGGGTTGAGGCGCGAGGGACGTATTGGAGTCGGCACGGTCAGATTCTTTCTGGGAGCAGATGGGGGGGAGGCGGGGCGGGATGTTGGTCTGGAGGCGGAGGAGGAGTTGGGGACGCGGCGATGGTCCATGAGGGGGCTGCCGAGATATATGTGGGGATTGTGCATGGCGGCATGAAAGGGGGGGAGGAGGGGAATGAGGGTGAGTGACGTGTGTGTGATGAGTGAAAGGTAGTGATGATGATGATGGAGGAAGCGTCGAGGATGGCCAGCGCACACAGGTGGAGGGTGAGTCAAGTAGCCGAGACTTACAAGTGGGGCAGTTAATCTGTGCGTCATGGGAGTGGGTCGAGGGGGCGGCGTGTGATAGATTAAAAGTGGGGCAGGCAGCGGAGGAGGCCCGCCACCCAGAATACGAAATTCCGATGAGGGAATTTGAATGGCGGGACACATGGCAATGCCGGCGGCATTTTCAGAACGTCCATATGGCGACGGCGAGGCCCAAGGGCTAGGGACGACAGGGCAGGAACAGGCACGCGTGCCCAGAAGAGCCAAGACCGGACCTCGGAGTGCAGTGCGTGCCCACCACGCCCATGCAGTGTGGTCGGGAAGCCGGCAGCCAGCGGCAGCATCTCGGAATCCATTTCGGGAGGAAAAAGAATGAGGGTGATGATGGGGGTGGAATTGGCGGAGATGGGCGGCGGGCGGATGGGCGTATGTATGGGCGCATGGGCGTGGGCGGGTGTGAGGCATATGATCAGAGCATGCTCCAGTTGCAACGTGCTGTTGCTGTTCAAGCTCCCAACCTATTCCCAGCACTCTCTCCGGTCTCTCCCACGCCGTCATCAAACTCGGCAGCTATACCCAGTTCAGCAGCAAGCCACTGACCTCGGTGCTGTCTGTCAGCTGTCAGCTGTCAGCTGCCTCCAGTACACCACGGCATCAACCACTGCTCGTTGCTCTACACTGCAATGACGCGCCAAGCGTAATCACCAAGGACTACACAAACCTCTTTCCCACATCTCCTCCTCGCCTCCTCCCTCTACTCCCACATCATCATCATCATCATCATCGCCTACTATAATCCTTATCACCCAAACCCATTCCTCCTTGTTTCCCACGCCGCAAGCACCGCAACCGCAACCGCCGCCGCCATTCCCCTCCCCCCCTTCCTCTATTCCTTCAACTCTCTTATCCCCAACCCCTCAACTCATCTCTCTTTCTCCTTCCTCACTCTTTACCACTCTCTCTTCCATTCACCATGGCCAATAGTCCCATGTCAAGTCCTCCGGCCCCAGGCAGCTCGCCATCTTCCGCCCCCACCGAGCTTCCCACCCGCTATCCCGTCGTCGCCCCTCCCATACCCCTCATGGACGGCCTCGAGCTCCAGCCTCCACTCACCCATCGCGGAACAGGACCAGGTGTCATTGTCGTCCCACCTCCGCGCCTCAGCATGCGGCCCCATAAAACACTCGGACTCAAGACCCCGCTAGACCCAGAGCCCGTCAAGAAGTGGGCTGAGGAAGGTTTCGCCGTCGTCGGCACCCGCATCAACGGCGGTACGGACGTGAGCGAAGCACTAACCACGGCCATCTCTGCACTCGAGAGCGCTGCATTCGTTGAGAACAAGGGCGGCTATGCTGTGTTGGGTGAGTGACTAGCGGGCGCAGTGGCTATGGGGTACACGGCGGACTGGATTGCCCGACGCGCGACACGTTCGACACATTCATCGCCACACGCGCCACAGCCATGACGGACGAGCCCGAGCCAAGCCCTGTGACTACCCCACATGTCCCTCCCTCCCCACCTTCCCCCACCCAAAACTAATCCCTCAGTGTACGACCCTTCCGCCCTGCCCTCCATCTTGGCTGGCTCGGCATCCATGCCACGCATTGTCGCAGTCGTGTCCCACGGCGCCGCAATGTTCAGCGACGACCTCCCTATGCTTGTCCATGTTCCCGAGCGCATTGTGCACGATGCCGGTCGCGACCCTCCCCCAAATTGCCGCGTGCACGAGTACGACGTCGACTCGCCATACTTTGTCGTGCCCTCTTCTGGGCCCAAGGCATATTCGCCACCCAATGCTGCTCTAGCGCATTCACGCACCCTCGTGTTTCTGCGCGAGCAGCTTGGAGGGCCGTATTTCGATCTCGAGGCCATTTGGGACGAGCACACGCACTACGAGTTTATCGACCGCTCCGTTGAGAAGACCATGCTGACCATGGTTGTGAGTGACATTGGGCTTGGGGCTTGGGGCTTGGGGCTTGTGATTTCGCAGTAGCTGACAACAGGACGAGCCTTATGTCAACCACGTGCCGACAATGACGGGCGGTGTGGGGCGCGAGCAGCTTACCGAGTTCTACCGAGACCACTTCATCTTCAGGTGTGTTTCTCACCAAAACCTTGCTGACAGGGTAAGCAACCCAGAGGATGCGGACCTGCTGGTTGTGTCGCGCACGGTTGGCGCGGACAGAGTCGTCGACGAGTTCATCTATAGCTGCACGCACAGCCGCGTCATCGACTGGCTTCTTCCAGGTGTACCGGCGACGGGGAACAAAATCGAACTGCCGATGATGGCGGTAGTCAACATTCGTGGCGACCGGTTGTATCACGAGCACATCTGGTGGTAAGAGGGCGGGAAGGTTGCCCGCTGACAACAGGGACCAGGCGAGTGCGCTCCAGCAGGTTGGCTTCCTCCCGGAGAGTGTGCCGACGCCGCAAGGCCGTCTTCGTCTCCCGGTTGCCGGATATCAGTCGGCCAAGATGCTGGCGGATGAGACGACGGGCGATGCCAACTTTATGCTCGGCCCGAAATGGGGTGTCCAGCCTGACGATGCGGAAGCGGATGAGGGAATTGGCAAGGAGCAAAATGGCGAGGCTGCGCTCAAGAACAATGGGCACAAGCAACCTGCGCTTGAGGTGTAGGATTGCTCGAGCGCTGGCGCCGAGCTCGTGTTGTATCGCGAGGAGAGAGATGGTAAGCTCGCGCACACACATCGAGCGATGCTCATCGAAGAGCCGTGATCAGGTACGATATACTGTCTTTGTGTTGCTGTCATGTATATGTATCTATTGCATGTGAGGGAGAGGTGCATCGTGGTGCATCGTGTAGTGCAGAAATCTAGATTGTGGAGGGAGCGGAAATATCAACCTGATATCGCGATCTCGCGACTTGCGTCATCCCGCTCCCGGCGGATCCACGACGTCATCCAGCCGGCTGGTCGTCGCCATCCACCTCACTTCACCTCACATCTTCCTCATTCCTATTTCCCACTAACCCTCCTCACCCTCCCCTCACCATGCCCAAGCTCCGCGTCCTAATCTCCACCTCCGCGGCATACCCCCCCGCGACGCTCTGCCCCGTGAACGGCGGCCCCGTGCGCGTGCGCACGCCGAATTTCGACGGCGAAATCAGCGTCTTCATCAAAGGTTTCGAGGGCGAAGGCGCGGCCGGCGACGGCCACGAGTTCTTCGACCACCGCCCGGGGCTGACGTACGCAATGGTCGTGCGCGGCAAATACCTCGACGGCGTGAATGGCGACGACCTGGTTTTCGGGAACGTGTTCGAGCGGCCCATCCGCGACAGTTTGCCGTGGGGAACGAGTATTGCGACAAAATTCATGTAGTAGGTCTTCTCCTTCTTCCTCCCCCTCCCTCCCTCCCTCCCCGACCTACTCCTCCTTTACCCCCCTTCCCCCCCCCCCCCCCCCCCCCCTTCCCCCTGCCCCCC